AAAATAATATACATTCTATCATTTGCAGTAATAAAACAATATTAGATATCAAAAGATACACTCAGAAATATATATTTTTATTATACAGGGTGATTTCTTAAAACTTGGCGGCCATCTTGGCGGCCATCTTGGATTTCCGGTGATTGTAAAAGAGGATATTTTTAAGAAATGGATTTTTGGAATCTGTACTTATTTTGCTTTTAAATGAGACTAATTATACTTTTGGACACACATTTGAAATAAATGGCCCCTATCTCTGGTACTAGGTAGAAAATGCTACAAAAGATATATGAAGTTGGTAAGGGGATAAATAATTTATTTATATCTTACACGATCAGTCAAAAAGATGAATGAGAGCAGTGATCCGCTATCCGTTATTTTCTGGCAATAATTTTAGCTAGACAAGATGCATGTTTTGGAAGATATTGTTTCAATTCGTTTCATTCTATTATTTGGTCATAGAAATAGATGTTTGTTTGTAGTAAAACAGTGAGTTTTACGGAACTTGAATATTACAATTATCTGATTATAATATCATTAATAAAAGTCATCAGACAACAGTTTGTAAAAGTAAAGTTTCAGTTTATTCAAGTGTTGTTTAACTAAAGTTATTTCAAATTAATATCAAGAAGAACTAGTTTCGTGATAAATGTCACATGTCTTTGTAACTTATAATGTTTGTAACTATTAATGGATTGTTTGTTGATACTTCTAAATTTACACAAACAAAATACATTTTATTCTGTAAAAAATGCCCTAGACAGCTAGTGAGTTTTTACAAAGCGTAAAGAATACACATAGAGAATTTCTATTGAAATACCTCTATTATTTTAAATAAGAAAAACTCTTAGATGTTTCAATACTTCAAATGAAGTAAACCTGAAATAAAAAAAAATACCAAGTAATTATATAACACAAGCATGTCGCAAAAAGGCAAATAAGAAATAAACAAACTCTAACAGAAGAGAACATGTAAATTGTTTAATCAAGTTGTGTTAATACACGTATACAAGAAGAAACACTCGTAGATCGATTGTTAATTTCTAGCTTATTCTCTTATTACGGAAATAAGAAAAAAATGATGATTTCCATCTGGAATATGCTTAACTTAGATTAAAAAAGATTTGGATGGGAATGTCAGATCCAGAAATGTTATTTTACTCAAGTAATAGAGATTGCACCTTACAAAGACGGTCTTAGTCGTATTGGCAAGTGCATTTATTTCAGTTAGCATATCAAGTTTGGCATTAAACAAACATACCATTTATGTAAGCAATGATTAGTAACGAATATTAAACCTCACTCATTAATAATAATCAAAACATTTAATAGTTTATCAAAACACATTTATTCATCTGCAAAATAAGGCGATTATGATTTATACGATATTCAGTTCGCAATACTCACAACCCTAAACAATAAGTGGCACTATTCTGTAATGAGAAAAAAATCGTATTGTTAGCAAACATTGACAAGTATTAAGTTCTGATAGTAAAAAGTTCTCATGTATTATATTTAATCAAACAATCTCCAATCGTAGAGAATGCCACTTTACTGAAATACCTTTGATCAAGATCATCTAATTCGCACATGTAAAATGATAGCAAACAAAAAAGATGAAAACGTTTTTAACCGTCCTACTCGTTTAGTCTTTGGTACGTGCGTGTTGCTAGATTATGTAATTTCAAAATTCCAGAAAGAAAATGACCTTTTAAAGTAAAAAAAAAACGTCTCCAATCCCATAAATGCAGTGTAAGAACAAAATATTTACATCAACTATACTGTGCATTATGATAGACAAATATGTTTATTTACCGCGGAAATATTTCATGCTGTATACTATATCGTGAGCAATACAATATTTACGACAATAAAACTAGCACTAAAATCTAGGCAAATATATATTTCACCTGAAGGATTTTATTGCCGTCCAGGTGAAAAAGACATAAAAAAGCTTGTGATGTTTACGTGGTCGTAATTAGGTTTTCCAGATATCCGAGTGTCAAATAAAATTACAAATTATAAGTTTTTGTTCCTTTACAAATAATAATTGACTTAACTGGTGCTCTTTCTTTACTTAGACAGACAGATATGCAGTAATTAGTAGATGTAATTACATGCATGGTAATTATTAACGCTTTTCATCTTTTTCATCCTTTCTTCTATTTTTAACAGCTCGAATTGATTGTTTCACTTTCGCGTTCCATCATTTATTTTAATCTTATTAAACCCGAAAGAGATATTCAGCTTGAACTGTTGGCAAAGCATGTGTAATTGTGTCTTTATACATCATAATAGCTGAAGATTCTTTTAAACAATTTGTCATAAAAATTCAAATATGTCTCGGAACAAAAATTGCATATTTTCCCATTACATGCAAACAAAATAAAATTTGAAGGCTAGTTACAATGCAGTAGGAATGGATTATTTATCCCCAAGCCAGTTTTATAATGGAAAGTTTTGTTCAAGAGAAGAAGAAAACGTTCTCACATGTTAAAGACATTCAAGACAACTAATTCAATAAACGAACGGAGAAAAGTTTTTTTTTCTTGAAATCTAAATAATTCCCATCAACTTAACACCAACTGTAAATGTAGTGAGTTGATAGACATTGAAGATCCAAAACGTCTTTTATACACATTTGAAACGTTGTAAATTTGCCATTCTAGATAAAATAAAAGGCATCACACCTAAAAACGTAAAATATGAAGATAAAATCCGTACTTTTATGGTCGGCGACGGCTTTTTTGAAGCCATGTAACCTTTGCTGCTGTTCAGGCGATTTACATTTACATTTGGCCGGGTTGCACTGGAGCAAACTTGGGTTATAGTATGGTGAATGTCGGGCGGCGGGCGGGGAAAACTTTTCGTAACAGTTTTCTCAGCAACTACTTATCGCAGCCTCTTAATATTTAGCATACAGCGTTGACATGTGGTCCTATACCGTGAGATTACATTTCAGGTCTGTCACTCATCCTCTTCCTGTTCACCGACTTAGTTAAATATATGACATTAATGGTCAATGATAGGAAATTTTCGTAACAGTTTTCTCAGCAACTTCTTATCACAGCTTCTTGATATTTGGCATACAGCATTGACATGTGGTCCCATACCGTGGGATTTAATTTGAGGTCTTTTGCTCATCCACTTCCTGTTTACCGACTTAGTTAAATTTTCGAAATTTATAGTCAGTGGTAAATTTTTTTGTAGCATCACAGTATCATGCTATTTGGTATACAAATGCAACCCGGCCTTTTCTGTCTTTGACCCATTTTTTGTATTAGTATCGTAGAAAAAAAGCTTCGATCAGGTATGTATATCTCATATCTTGGATGTTAAATAATAATAACAAAGGTAAATTACATGTCGACGTAAGTGAATTGCTTCATGCTTTAATTGGAATTTTAAGTTACATCGTAAATGTTATTTATTGGTTAGCGAGAAATTTTGACTTAATCCCTCCGTAAATCCATAAATAGAACCATCCGACTTCTGCAAGATATCTGGATAATTCTCTTATATATTGTTATTCAATAAGCAACAATGTACTCTCACTAACTTCTACGTTCGACTTTTATTCTTTTTCTTATACTTATAGCACAAGTCTCTGTCTCGACAAATAGTGCTTCTGTTTTGTTATTGTGTGCGGTGTGGTTGACCTCTTTCACGTGTCATACTGTACCGGTTTGTCTTTTTAAAAGCATGTTTACTTGCGTATACGACCAAACATGTTTCCAGGCGTAAACGACCGAATTGAAAAGTTAGTATTACCGCGAACAAATGATTTTCAGCAAGGGCTAGTCACATAACATTTTTTTGCCAAAAGATTATAAATTAATTTTCTAAATGTTATATATTTTAGGTAGGAAACAAAGACAAAAATATTCATGCAGGAGATTCCTATACCGGGTCATATCTTTTAAAGGTGGGTCGCGCATACAAATGTATGTACTCGACGCCCTGTGCTTTACTTTATTTATTTATTTTTTTTGCAATCACGAACTTTTATGTCATACACTACTAATTCATTTTTTCACGAGGTTTAAATATTGTTTATTGTCCATTTGGACTGAGAGACAGTACTTTGAGGTAGGAGTCTCCATGAATATGGTTGCAGACGTTCTACGGATATAAGCAATAACTTACCATTTAGTGAATTATTTTTCTTTTCTCAATATCCATCTTCCGACAAAATACTTATAGTAATGATATGGAATTCTATACTTTCTTTGTTGCTTTTTGGTTCCAATCCCTCATATGTTCATTTTATAAATATCAAATGAAGTATATTTCAAATTTAGTTCAAATACAGATTATTTTTCAATATTTCAGATTTTTATCAGTTTAACTGAAATGAAGTATATTTCAAATTTAGTTCAAATACAGATTATTTTTCAATATTTCAAATATTTATCAGTTTAACTAAAATTTTGTTGATATATATCTTAAAAAATTATCAAGTCAAATAGTTTATTGGCATAAACATTTTACACGTTCATCGCCAAGTTATATGAATGGCGGTTTATAATTTAACATAAAACATTGCATATACAATTACAAATTTTGTAATAAATACATGTACAAAACATACATAATATTTAAGTACAGAAAAGTATGGTGATGGATTTAACATAGCTATATAATTACAGGCAAATAACAGTGAAACACAAAGAACAACATTGATTTTCAAATTAATACTGTTTGTAAATAAAGAAAAAAATATTAACAGAAAACTAGACAGTATTTCTTTTTTCAAATGATAAGTGAATATATTTAGCTAATTTTATAATAACGTTTTTGGAAGAAGCAGTCATTATACTTTTAAATTTGTTTATATTTGGCCAAGTATAATAGTATCTTGGTAAATAAAGTGCTCTTAAATCAGAATAATATGGACATATCAATAACAGATGATACTCATTTTCAACCACTTTCATATTACATTTCACACATAATCTATTGTTTCTATCGATATTTCTGAAGCGACCTTCCTCTATATCTAATCTATGAGCCGAACATCTAAATCTTGAAAGGGATTTTCTATGTTTATCATTTGTTATAATACTAAGATATTTTTCATAACCAAAATCAGTTTTAATTTCTTTATAAACTTCTAATTTTCTAGATATCAGCACAAATAGTTTTCGGAGACACATATTGTACTCGTTTTGTTTCTCTACAACTGTTAAAACTTGCTGCGTGGATCAACATCAGATCTGGTATGACACTTATAATCTGATTTCTGACAAGCTGCTTAGTTCACACTTGATCCATCGTTTTCTCAAAGTTAATTAAAAACAGACTCGCGTCGCTATAAAATATAACCAGCATGTTTTGTCGCAAGTAACAAGTTTTGACATGTAAGGTAATTTTACTACTATCTCCTAACTAATTAGCTGTTTTGGTTTACGGAATCTGCAGTAAGTTGCAAGCATTATTCGTCAGGCATATGATTGTATTATATATTTCTGTCTTGCTGATTTATTTTTTTGTTGAGTCTAAGCACACAAATGCATTTAATTAACTTAGAATGTGAAAGTAAAATATTCTATTCTTCTTATTTAGAAATATGAAAAAATAAGATTTGAATATTGCTTGGGGAATGACTCTTTTAATAAAATACCTCATTACATTTTGGATCAAAATATAGTTTTAATAATCTTCTGAAGACGTTGTCAATAAAACTACAGAATGTTTAATTGGAAACATTCTTGGGACACAAACGATTTTCATAGTTATCCTAAATGCATATATTTACAGTTTGCTTTTTTTCTCCTAGAGAAACAATTTCTTTACTATACACATGTAGATGCCTTTCATTCAGTACAACATATAATACTATTATTTAAAATTCAAAAACAGTACTTATTAACTGTTTCCTAAGAAGCAGTATCATTTTTAAATTAGTGTTATATTAAAATTGTATTTTATAGATATATTGATGTGTCAGAAACGGATACTGGAAATGTGGCATGAACTTTATTTGCATCAATTTAAAAGTATTAAATAAAGCTGTACGAGTGCAAAAGATAATCAGAAAATGCATCAATGAAAGCGTACACTATACCTTGAAATGTTGACGTATGGACGAATAAAACAGATATATGACCAGCGCATTTAGTAGATTCAGTTACCTAGTTCTTAATGTGTCTCGCTGCACGGTCAAGTTTTATGGCTAATTGTTTTCCGGAAACAACGCCAATGACCGTAAATAGAAAGCTTAACAAACTAACAGGAAAGACACGGTAAATTCAATTTAGAATCACATTTTAGAATTTTATATAAAAACATATAAAAGCTATATATAATAACAGTCAATTTGTAAAATGTGTAGTACATTTTTGTATATATTGAAAGTAAGGTGTTTACTCACGATTAAAACATTATGTTGACGTTATAACACACTTTATATTTATATACACCGCGTTATTACTTACTCGTATAAATATCATAATCACTTTATTTGTATGGCAACAATTTGAACAACTATTTTTAACTAACCGATTATATTTAGCGAGTGTTTTGTTATAACTTTAAAAAGAAGTCTGGTTGTTATACATATATAATTGATGTTTGACAAAATAATCTCAGATTTTGTTACATATCTTTATGGAAAATGTGTTATTATCAGTTGATAACTCATCATGTTTCTTTTCACTGTCACCTCTTCTATATTCTTTTTATTGACTATCTGCGTGAAACATGTTTATACTCTTGCCGTGTCGCTTGAATTAGGTTAATTAGGCGCTTATTTATAATTCATTTCAAATAACCTTTGATGAGAGAGAGACAATCTAGAAGTAACTTCTCTTTTAACTTCCCAGAAGACTAATAAATAACAATAGAATATAAGGAAATAACTTCAAGACAACTTTTATTGATCACTGTTCATATTTCGTTTCTCTTATGCATTCACATCAAATGCATTTTACAAATTTGAGCTTAGGGAAAACGTAACCAAAGTATGAGCGCACGTTAGAATTACTACACCTTTCTAAATTGTAGCATAGTTATAAAAGTGAAGAAAAAAACGTTCGATGTGGAAAGTAGTTACACTTATAAACAGTAAAAAAAAGGAAAACGATTTGATAAAAACATTGGCTGTAAATCATCTTTATTTATAAGCTTTGTTTTTGTTATTCGTAAGTGCTTCTTTAACTTTCATTTTTGCAGAAAACTCGTACATTTTGTGAATAACAAAACGATATTTCATTCTGAAACTGGCAGATGGCAGATATATTATGTTCGCCAGTCATGGTTAACATGAAGAAATATTTAAAACTAATAAATAACTTTTAAAACCGCCACGTACGTTTCAAACCCACGATTGTTATGTCAATAATTAAGAAATAGACTCTTGACTGTAAATCAACAAATAAGTCATTTGTTTTTGGCCTACCCTCTACGTATTCATGTAGAAAGTGATCCATTACCTTCCCATGATCAATTATTGTCTGACATATAAATAATCTAGTAGACATTGAACAGAGCTCGGTATTGGAGATGACAAGATCATGTTCTGTTCTGTAATTAGTATACTAGCCCCATACCATTCTAACAGCGCTCGCTTTCATCTTCACATTTGAAATACGATCTGACAAAAATATCAACGTCTTAAAATAGCAGAAGAAAATTTTAAGCAAATTATATTTAGTTTACTGAACATGGAATACATATAAAAATAGTGAGATTTTGCCGTATGAGTCTAATTCTTTCTGTCAATTCACTTTACTTTGACATCAAAATATACAATCTGGAATATTGGTAATATTCATAATTTGAATATTCGGCAGTTTCCATCAAAAATGAACAAGACTTAAAGACTATTGTAATAATTTGAGCTTAATGAATAAAAAAGAAACTGTTACAAAGTTCAAATAAAGACTTTATACTATAATTAGGATCTAGAATAATTATCATCAACATATCAATAGTGTCTGTTAAACATAAGAGGGTACATCTTAAAGATCATTTGTATGATCCAAACATTTCTGTTATTTTACGATCCTGACGTCTGGAAATAACAATTCACACACAAGTAAAATAGAGAGCTTATCACACCAAAGTCACTGCATATCATTAAAATGTTTACATGAGGTTAAACAAATAATGTTATTTTTTACTTCATTTAGTTATTAAGTGACATTGTTCTTATATCATTTTTAACTTCTTTTCCAACTTAATACGTTTCATTTCCTAATCTCTATATATAATAGGTAGTTTGAAATTTTATCTAATCCTTTACTGAAATATATTTAAGTGTTAGCAAAACACATGCATATGTTTAAATTTTGTTAATAATGTCTACTGTGAAAGGTAAATACATTGTTATTTAACACAGGTTAATAGTGTATGTTAAGTAAATAAAATTTCCCGTAGCAAATTATTATGCTGTTTATTTATGACGGTTTCTGATTTGATTTTCTGCACGTCCCATTCATAAGAAAATCTAAAATATACAAACATTTTTCTTTCTGGAAATATTCTTTTTAAAGATTAGAAAACCACTTTTGAATCAGATGTATAGCTTTATACACTTAAACACACAGATAATTCCTACAATAGTACAATTCTGAACGTATTCTAAAAGTAAAACTATGTTCAATTTCTACTGTGAAATTAAGGTGAATAATACATGTTGTATATTATATTTCCAAAGATTATCTTTCCTGATAGTGATTGAGTAATAATTGAAAGAGGCGAATACCTTAATTAAATACTAAAATTTGTCTATATCATAGACGACTCCCTCACTCCTTTAGTAACTAGAAGTTGAACATTACCTATAATTTCCAATGAGCATTACGGAAATTTCAGTACCATTAAAATCAATTATTCATGCAAAGTAGAAAAATGAAACTGAAAACAATTATGGCTAAATATACAATTAATTTGATGTTTACCCGTACACTCAATATTTAATCTCGTATGGGTATTATGCCACCATTTTTTTGTAGAACTCAAGTTCAAAGTGTGAGATTTTCATTTAATCTTATCCAGTTAAAAAGGTAATAAAACAGTTTAAAGGGTGGTTTAATTGAATGGTTTATTTCTGAACGATAGAAATATAATTTCGCAGTTGAGAGAGTAAAGCTCATCAAGGCTACCAGTGAATTCAGTGCCGGTAATACTATTAAAAGGACGTTGATGTCAATCCGTCACGTAATAAATATATACTAATCAATAAACTAAACATGCGAACCTTAAAACAGAAGTCATGAATTTTTTATAATAATGTATTTATTCGGAGAATGCCTTAGATAGTTGTATTAACAAAAGCTCAGGGGCATAACTTCTTGTACATTAATTAGGTCTTCAGGAAAAATGAGCACACGAACCATAAAAAACTTTGAACTTAATGAGTATTTCTGTAAAAACCGAGCTCATCTGTTGTTTAAATTATTTTCATCTTTTCTATAAAATATTTCATAATTTAATATCTTGTATATGGTATTGAACTTTAGGCTGGTTGTCCTTATTTGTACATTCAATATAACTTTAATGATTACAGATGGTCTCGTTTTAGTTATGCAGCTGGAAAATCACCACATGAACAAAGTGAGATAATACTTGAAACTAAGTCATGCAAGATTTCCTTTTTTTATGAAAACCAATCTTACAACTTTTAAATCACAGTGCAGAATATAACAAAACAAACCACCATTAAAACTACAAATCCCGTATTCTTGTAATAGACGAAATAGGAAATGTGCCAATAACTGAAGAATTGAAGGAGAAGTGTAAAAATTGAAAGACTGTCTGAGTATGTTCATAAAATTCTAACGAAGAGGTAACATTTCTTATGTCATTTGTTGAAGCGATATTCATATTTCATCATTCAATTGTACCAAACAGCATATCATTCTACGACACTGTGGCATCATGATAAATTTATACGGCTTCACATAATTTTAAATTATGGAGGCAATATGTCATGTTAACTTGTATCAAAATTGTCAGACAAGACATGTAGTAAAAGTTTACTGGACTCTAAGGAATGCTATACTGTAACAAGTCCCCAAATGGTAGGAAATAAAAGGCTTTACTTATTTGATTAGGACAATGAGGAGCGATATTTAACGTTTCAGCATGCATTTAAATGACATATGTCTACTCAAGGGGGAACTTACTTGGAATTGTTCCTCTAGATTTTAGTCAATTTGATTGAATTTAATGTCTAGCAGATTTTACTAGATATTTGTGAGATGTTTTTTCTAAATTTGTCACGAACAATGTCACTGTGTTTCGTCTTTCAAAGAAAGCTCTCAAATCTTCATTTCGTTGACTTTTCAATTTACCGAGACTTTTCTCAATTCCTTATTGGATTGCCAGTAACACATTTAGAGATGTACTGAAATATATTTGTTACAGAAAGACATTGCAGACTAAAACTAATAGCTTTCCCTACATATTGCCAAAATATATTTTTAAATTCAAGAGAAGAGATATTGAAAATAAACCTTATAAACAAAATAACATTTCACGACTAAAAAAGATTGAAATTTGCTAAAATATTCTCGTTTTAGATAGGGGTATTACGAAGCTCATCGACTAAGCTCAATAGGTAGTGAATAAACCCGCCGGTTTGATCTTCGGGTGGGGCTAAATTTATCCGTGATAACTGATCTTGAACATTACGAAACCGTTTTTAATTAGAAGTTGGTCTTTTGCGGGAAAATTGATAACGGGGACAGTTCATACAATTCTGACGCTTGAATTACTACTTTGTGGTCGTTGTATTTCACAGCTCCTGACTTAAAAAGACCTTCCGAGTAAAAATAGACCTATGTCTTCCCGAAAAGTACAAAATATGCAAAACGTCGCATTTCCTAAATAATTGTAGGAGGATAAACCTATAATTGTTAAATGCAAAATCAGTTCTAAATAGCCGATTAGTTACTGGTACGTTTAATAAGGAAAATGCTTTGTTAAAAAATGAAGATTTTTTTATCGAATTGTAGACGAGTGGTTTCATATGAAATTTAAAACACGTTTTAATTAGAAGTTGTTTGCAAATTGATAACGAAGTCATAAATTCTGCGCTTTATTCTATTTGTTCCGATTTATTTCACAGCTCCTGACTTATAAACCTTTGTTAAAAACTATGTCTCGAAAAGACAATATGGCAAACGCTTGCAATGTTCAAAATAATGTTGGTAGAAAACGTCTTTGTTTTATAACGTTATCCTCGGGTACAATTTTCTAAAATGCGACGTTTGCAATTTTTCAAGTCAAAGAAAAACTATTCTCAATGGTGGTGTTGTTTCCCATTTTTTTCTTTCAACAATTTATGATGATCTCGATATCTTTCAGTTTCCATATGAAACAATTTACGATGTCATACACATTTAAATCTTCCCATGAAGTAATTGAAATAAATACAATATAGAAATATCTGTGGGACATATAAATATAGTTTAATGGTAAATGTTTATGATGTAAATGGGGTTTTCACATGCTTTAGTTGAGTTAATCTTAGAGTAAATTACTTGTGCAAATAATTTGTGCAATTTTGATAGATTTATGTGTTTCGGAAATATAACAAACAAAATTAATATTGATTTTGGTGTGGCTGTAATGCGTTTCTCGTGTACATCTTTATTATAGTATTAACGGTTTTCAAACAATCTGTTTTAACAGAGAGATAATTATGTCTAGACTAAATCATTTAAAATTAAAATTGATTTCCCTATCTGTTCAATGCAACCCACCATCTAGTTGCTGGTATAATGCACAGATGACTATCCGAGCACAGTCTCCCTATACCAGTTAGTTAATCATATTGTGGCCTTCTTACTGAAGCTATCATCCACATTAAAACTGATTTCTATCAGACTGAGTTTATAGTAAATTACAATATATGCTACATTAATATATACATGTATATTCTTCTATGCAGTATGTATATTGCTTCATGCATGCTTGATATTCCAAAGTCAGTAAAATTTCATGTTATTTTATTATAATATTTAATTTAAGAAGCACATTATTTTGAATGATAAAAAGCATATTCAGTCATGTTTCTTACGTACATAATAAACTGAAATCAATGAAATCATCTTATTTCAAACAAATTTTAAAGAACAAAAAGCTATATATTATTAAATATTGTATAATAATTTAAAACAGTAAGATTATGTTGTTTTCCTACCCATATGGTAATTTCTTAAAAGATTTGTAACATAGAATTTCTGTGTAATGAAATGTACGTGAATATTGTATATAATAAAAACATTCTGCTGCTATTTTAGTCTTTTTTGTTTGTGATGATTTAATGGATTCGCCACCCGATTTCAATAAAGAAAATGATCTAGGTATTTTGTTATCATTATAAACGATAATTTTACAATTCTCACGCAGCGAAAATGTAGCTTTATACTCTTTATAAATCATGTTTACAAAAATCTGTTTTCTTGTAACTATTTTACAAGTAATTGAAAAGGAAAACCTAGATATCAAAGTGTCAAAGTTAGAATATAGACAATCCTGTTTGATAAAGAACTTGAGAATAGACTCAGTGTTTTGTAGTAACTAAATCATCTGTTCCTCGAAGCCCTAATAAAGATTTAGGATGTGTCGGCAAATCGATCGGTCGTCTCAAGTGTTCAGAACGTACGGTTTTGTACGTAAAGATGTCAAAATCACATTTTCATTAGAAAAATTGTACAAAATAAAAGAAAACAAAGAACGTGCTCGTGAGAACACTGTTTGAAATTTATATGTTCAATTAAACAACTGTAAAGTGGATGTCATTGTGCAAACGCTGTATCTTTAACTATTTTGTGGTAATTTTGTTGTTGTTTTTTTCTCGTAAAAATGGTTCGGATTAGGCCTTAGGCTTAGTTGATGTTTACGATAAGAAAAGCTTTAAACATATCAATTATACATTTTTTTCTTAAGATAGATTTTGAAAACTTGGACTGAAGTATTTATATAAACCGCTCATTTTGAACTGACTGTAAAATCCTTTTCCACGTTTTCATTTCCAATACCACTGTTCACAAAGTTGCCTCTTACCTATTCGACGAACTGCACAATTGTTAAAATAGAAATGTTCAAGTCATTTACTTAATCGCCTCGATTATAATTAGAAACTTTATTATCCCACTACTAGTGTTTGCAAAATGACCACCAACATATTTGTAACTATATAGTTTCTCCAATCGCCACGCTGCAACATTTTGAAGCCAATCTTGTTATGTAGAATTGTTCATAACATTTTCACCAAATTTGTCCAATCTAATTAGAAATTGTTTATAAATTATTTATAAATATGTCAGCAGATGATATAGGTTTGACATATTCAGTTAATAGTAAATAATTTTCAATTTACATTATATAACCTTATATACTCAATTACTAAAATCTTAATAAAGGGATGATGAACTAAATAACTAATAAACGAGCAATTAAACTAAGAGAAACTGACACTTAAATGATAAACAGATACAAAAGTGCCAAGAAATCAATAGCTTAGAAATTCACAATATGTCTCATTCTCTTTCCAGGCGGCATCTATTCATGATTATTGTAGAAGTTTTTACAATCTTTGTGATTCAAGATCTGCTCGTGGTCCACCAGGACCTCCAGGTGTTCCTGTCGATCGTGGTCCCCCGGGTCCCCCTGGACCACAAGGACCAAAAGGAGACCAAGGACAACCAGGTGAAAGAGGACCTCCCGGAAGATTTGGTTTTGATGGCATCGCCGGTATGTTTAAACAATTCAGAATTTGTTAATTTTATTTTTTTCTTAAACAAAATAATTTCATGATGTTTCAATATTTACCATTAAAGCTGCTTACAACGGAAACGTGTATTGCGCAAAGAATGCTAAACGTACTATTTAATGCATTATGCCTTCCATTATACAATGCCATTGGTACGAAATAATCAGTAAGAATGGAAATGTAATATGAACAGACAGCACATGTTAGAACGATAAATGCTTAATTTAAAATTATTGTTGTATTTTTACTTCAGGAACCCCAGGCGACAAAGGTGAGCCAGGCGAAAAGGGTGACAGAGGCCTGATTGGTTTTGATGGTCAAAAGGGCGACATTGGTGAGTAAAGCTACAAAAATACATTAGTTTTGCTTATTCAAGACTTTAAATTGGACATAAATTTAAACTTAATATTTTGATAAAAAATACGCAAATTTAAATCAAATGCAACCAGGGTTGTTAGTAAACGAAGTATTGTCTCATTTTAAAGTTTGTTATTAAAAATATGAATACTTTCATCAGCAGATAGATGTTTCTTAAAAGAATATATACTTGATATAAATGTATATAGTATGTTATTTTAACTAATGCTTTTGAATGTTTCTACCATGTTATAAGTAATTTATAGATGCGTTTGGTTATTGTCAAAACAAAATTTTCCATAATATTTTGTAAGTAATGATGGGGTTTGCTGTCATAAGTATTTCCATGGAAAGTGTTCTAGCATTATTATGATGTTCGGAAAATTGCGCCTCCCTTTTATATATAAATTCATTTTAATGCCTTATTGCATTATCTCTGTTTTAAAGAAGTAACTGTATCCGTTTTTGATATGTTTAAGTGTTAGTTCAAATGTTATAAATTCAAATCATTTGCAATGTAATTTGTCTAGTATGTCTAAGATATATAAAAGAAAACATGTTTAACAAAAGGTTACCCAGGACCAAAGGGAGACAAAGGAAATATCGGTCCCATTGGTGCAAGAGGATCAATCGGTCCACAAGGTCATCCAGGTAAATATAAAAACAGTTGGTCGTTTATTATGTAAAACGGTGTGTTAAGTAAATAAATGTTTAGCATACATAATTGTGAACAAACACACATTGATTATTTGATAATTAAAATTTTGGAAGTGATTGCCGTTTAGAAAATACCTCTTTTTTCAAACTGCCTTCTTTCTCTGTAACAATCACGTGTGAATGTTGAAAACTAAACAGTCATTGAAGTTTGTTTATTTCTATACTATTTGAATGTTTCCACTGAATTAAGTTATATAACGCTGAATATGAGGTAATTGAAATAAGAATACAGGGAGGACTGTACAGCTTAATTACATAAACGAAAGCGGTACGTTGTTAATCAGATTGTGAGAAAGTTTTTTATGCGCCGTCAATCTAATTATTTAATTTAATTACAACATTAGGTCCTGAAGGTGTGAAAGGACATGTGGGAGATGAAGGAAGACGTGGTAAGACTGGTAAGGAGGGGCCAAAAGGTGATAAAGGCAACAAGGGCGTTGACGGTATTCCAGGTGTACCGGGCTTCAAGGGCGAAACTGGGGTTACTGGAGAGCGTGGACCACCCGGATATGGTATTAACTGTATCTGTAAGTAACAAGTTTAGAAAGATGTCTTAACCTTAATTGATGGTAAAAAGTATGATTAATACGGTTCAATTGGCAATGGTATCAAAGTTATAATTTGGTAAAAATGCAACATTCATTTTCCAATCGAAATTTCCGGTTTTACTGTTACATTTCAAAGATGCATCAGACCACGTTTGTCTAAGGTTTTGCAATAAACTAAATTGTTAAACATAGATGATATTGAATCATTGTAGGTTTAATATTCATTTATTGAACAAGTTGAATATAATTATATCATGCAACACTCTAGCGAATTTAATCAATTTGATACTAAGCCTAAACGATTCATAAAATCACTTATGGTAAAGTATTTATAAATAAATATATTTATACAACTAATGTATCGTACATGTTACCGTTGAAACAATAGAAAATACTCGTACATGTATATGAAACCTACTCAAAATCGTCAATATTTTTTGTCTATTCTATTTATTTTTTTACTTCAGGCGAAAAAGGAGACAAGGGAGAGAAAGGACAAAGGGGTTTAGTTGGTTTTACTGGTTACAAAGGAGATGATGGTAAATTCCTTAATAAGACATCTTGCACAGTTACACATACATTAAGGTGACATAGTGTCGATTTACAAGGTTAAAAACAGACACAGATAATAAAGTTAATATTAAAGTTGATTGACAAAGTTACAAACAGAGAAAGATAATAAAGTTAATATTTAAGTTAATTTACAAAAGATGCATATAGACATAGGTGATATATGTATTATTTAGATGTATTAACAAAGATACAAATAGCAGAGACAATAAAGGTGACATTAAGTTAATTTTCAAAGATACATACAGACAAAGATGGTACCGATTATACATGTACATACATGTATTTAAGTGGGTTTTCAAAGCAATAAAAAGAGATGGATGTAACACCAGTTGACGGTTTTGAACAATACAACTATTTTGTAAAATCTGCTTCATTGCTTTTAAAAAGGAGATGGGGTTTAAATATGTATTATCCAATTTTGAAATGCCATGGACCTGTCACCGAAATATACAATTATACAGTTTAAGGTTTATGAGCCCCTGTACTAAACTCAAAGACAAACATTTAACATTTTGCTTGTTCATATGTTTTAAAGATTTTTAAAATTCACTAGTTTCTTCATCATAGAATTGTGCTTGCTCATTAACTATATATAAAAAAATTCAGTAAACTATTTTCTCAATCCTTATTTTCATAACCATGAGCTCTATCCCAATAATAATCTATTTTTTGTATTCTGTTCACAGGAATTCCAGGCCAAAAAGGAGATCGCGGTAAGTTGAAGGGCATAATTATGCCTATCGTAAACAAGAAGTATCTTTCAAAAAGATACTCAGCCGAAATAATATTTCATGTTTTCAATACATACCAGAAATGTTAGCAATGCTTGCACAAGAATGACATAATAATGATTTTTGTAGCTAAGACAATATCTATTTTGTAAACATTGAATTGAAATGCATTTACTTTTTTTTTGGAATGACCAATGAGATTCACTGATTTCAGTTTGTTATTTTTAGATGACCAATGAAAATTCTTCTTATATTCAGTCCTTCCCTGTTAATATTACAGGAAGTCAAACTGATAACAGACGGACTTCGTCCGAGAAAATTGTTATCCGCTGAATAACGCTAATTGAATGAAATATGTATATATGATTATATAAAAAAAATTGATATATAAAAATCTCTATAGTTTCACACAAAATAAAATATAATTATGTATTTAATACGTTTATAGCAAGTACCCGGTATTTTCAGAATTATAAATGGATTCAGAAATCGACAAATAAAAATGATAGCGCAGTTAAGTGAGAAATTGTGAAATTTATGGTTTTGAAATACCATTTAAACCATCTAGTGAACGATGTACATTTTAAGTAATTTTTTCAACTAATGATAACGAGTAATAGTGTGAATATCCATTGTGAAGTTCGAGCAACATAAAGATTTTTGGGCAAAGTAAAATCCATGTTTGTACATACGTACTAGTATATAGTATATAAACCATTTTATATCTTAGGTTTTGGTTTGAAGGGAGAACAAGGACCGATAGGCCCTCCAGGCATTCCGGGTCTTAAAGGTCAGAAGGGAGACTGCGATGGTAAGCATAACTATTTCATTTCTTTATCTAACAATCATTCATATGGAACATAAACATATTAACGACAATGTAATGTACCTTTGTTTCTTATAAATACACCGGTATAAAAGGTAGATTCACGGTGTAAATTTCATATTTAAAATCAAGAAATTCAATCATATTTGAAAAGACTTTGCAGAATGCATGTATGATGTTATACCAACACGGAACTAACTGATTTAAAAATATAAAAAACTAGTATCAGCTGTTGATTGGATTCAATTTGTAACGACAATTCACAAAGTTGTAAGACATTTACTCGGCAAGAAGACTTTTCAGGGATTTGATTATTTATGTTTTAAATGTCCTTGTCAAAATTAATAACGGAAAAAAACGAATGGAATCACTATGCTTTGTTGTATACATGGATAAGCTTTAAATATAAAGTGCGGTGGATCCATTTACTAAAGTCTAGGCCATATTTTATTTATATGTCTGCTTATATTTGCCCATTGTTTCCGCTCAACTGCTCTACGTTTATAGAATTTAACGCCTATTGATGGGATCCATTTGAAGCCATTAATTCTGTACCGCTGCTTTACTGAATAATAAATGAACGGGCGGTTGTACCAATGTTAAGAGGTGGAAAAAAGTCATGACATCAACAAATCCTGTATACCGATCTTCTGTTTTGCTGACAATTTGTGATATTATCTTTCAAAAAAGATCCTATCTGTAGTATGTTCCGTGTCAACAGTCCAATTGTTAGTGTCTTCCATGTCAACGGACTCTTGTTTAAATAGCAATGATATTTTTGCCGGTAATATTAAGTATTGCTGTAAATTAACAAATGATTCATTCGTCTATTAATCTTTTTTTGCTTTAGATTCAGGTGTTTGAACAAAACTTGACACCATCTGTTTATGTAACGTCTATTTGGCAATAACTCAATAATACAGCAGTATGCCGTGTAAATTCTTTGGCTCTGTCTGAACCAAATTGACATTTCAATATCCTTACATTATGCATACGCAACCAGTCTGTTCAAGATCAAATGAATTCATTCTTTCTACAACTTATCAGGAACTGTATTTTGTTGTTGATACAAGTTACGTATGTCATTGTACTGGAATGATATTCAGGACCATGAGGAGTGTTATCATATGTGTTAACTTTTTCACACAGCAATGTCAACGTTCTATTAGTCAAAATGATTTTTTTGCAATATTAATTAGCCGTAAGCCTATGATTATTTTGACATTTCTTTTCATATTTTTATTCTGTTGCTGTGTTAATGATATTTCTCTTTGACGATAGATCATTTAATATGCTAGTCTTCTCTTGGCTAATAAAATAATAGACTATGACCTGGAAACTAATGTCACACCTATAACACCCAAATATCAAATAAGTAGACAAGGGATGTTGTGTCTGGATGTCTGAAAACATGAATCATGTAAACGGGTTGATATTTTCTTTCAAAGGACCTTTAATTACAATTCTTAAGTTCTCAGAGATTAGTCAAAATATTTGAAAATCTATTTTTACAGTCTCTGCATGGAGATGCCTCACATATTTCTTTATTAACTTTTGATGAACGATGTCAAAGTTGATTGTGTTTCTTGTTGTAGCAACCTTAAACCATGATGCACGAGAGACACAAGTATAAAAGAAGAACACATTTTGCAATGCTCATTCATTTTCTCAGCAAACTTTTACACTATATATTTAGACAAGTCCCGCAATGTACAGGGCAATTCAATAGTTCTTCGTGTGTATTATAATCAGATACAACTTTGCAACACTACATTTAGCATCACTGAAATCGAATGACCTGAGTGACCATTATCATTGGCACCACTAGTATAGCCTTGGACAAACATAAGTAAGTAATGGGTTACTGTTACCACTTGACTGTTGACATTTTGACCTTAACATTTGACTTTGGTTACCAATATATATCTGATTTCTGACAAGTCTTCTTGCATAAAGAACAGCGTAATTGTCTGCTTATTTCTTGACATCATACTTTAAGATAGCTTTGATATAATATCAATATGATATAATATCTGAACTGATTAACGAAATGTAGTTATGTCTATGTCGAATTCTCTTCTGCAAAATTTTAAGACACTGAAAAAAACTTTCATTGTTTTGACCCATACATAGAAAATATGTAATGAGATCTTATTATAGTGTTAATGTTGCGGAGAAAATAAAGATGTCTCGTCCTCATTTTGAAATACAATGTATCTCGAATATACATTTAATTATTCTACACAAATTTTAAAACGAATACAAAATGATGTCTGAAAGTTGTCTAATATTATCATTATCATAAATACTATTGTTATTATAACTACTATTAGTATCATCATCACTTCTTATTATGTTGTACGTTTGGCGTGAAACACTTGTGAAATCTTAGAATTTTTCTTTGTTGGCGATTTAATTCACAGGAGAAAGTGCAGCTCTGAATAATGAAAACTTTCAGCTGTTAAACACAAGTTTTTATCAATTAAGTGCCACACTTTTTGTATTAGCATACAAATGTCACGAAATTGTGTACTTCATCCTCATACAATGTGCTCACGTGACCATAAAGGCCATGACAAATATCCAGATTTAAAGTTGAAAAATGAAAAAAAAAGACTAATGTGCAGCATTTCTTATAAGTACAATCATTCTTAAAGTGAATTGTTCTATAACGGAAGATCTATAATAAAATATATTATAATGTTGGTAATATTTAGTATCAGACATAACAAACAACAAGAGTTTTATATATGGATATTGTCGGCAAGAGCAAGTTATATGATCTATACAACATATATTTATGTAGCAGATAAAATTGTTCTAGATCAAAATTTAATTATCAATCATATAAATATTTATACTAAACCACAAAGAACTTTATAAACATTTTTACCAAGTAATAATTTAAAAGAATATCTAAATGATGCATTTATCAACATATTTGAAATACTTATGGAAAATGTGCCAGTTGTAGACCAATCCACTTTAATACCATAGCCTTTTTAAATATCACTTATACTGTTAACTATACCGTAGTTAATATGCTAACAGATTCCCTGGACATATTTGAATTCAAGTTCACGGAGGTAACGAGATATTTGATTTCTCGATCATAATGTAATTGAAACGCTGGAATTAAATTCACATTCATAAAAGGCTCTAAGTACTGAATTTCCCATTCATAGTAGGTAAATAACGCTTACATTCACACTTATATTCTTAATTCAGATCCATCAGGATAATAGTCTTTTAACATCTACTTTTATTTTACATGTTAAGATAATGGTTGAATTTCGGTCCGACTGGGTATGTTGATATTCAAATTTCCATTTATGTAGGATGAGTTTCATTTGCTAAATCATCGCTCATGTAGTATATAAAAAGAGATATTTTAACAATGTCTTGATAAGAACTTAAGATTTGATTATGCTGTGGTAAAAAGAAAATGTCATGATGAAGTTTCTAATTCTCTCGGTGCAGTCTTTTTTTAAACAAGAAAGAAAACAAACAAGAAAGTACTACATTTTATCTGAGGTTCTGGTTGCATAATTGGGGTCAGCATAATTTGTTTATATTACCTAGAAATGGATGTTAATGCCACTTGTTATCCTTTGTCAAAAGTGACAGAAGGCGTTTCTTTGATAAATGAAAAAGTAACACCTTCTTACTATGATCTAATTTTCGCGGGAAATTGTCCAGCACAATGTCTGCTACTCTGACAAACATCCCCCTAGAGACTGGTCAATAATCAGTATAATCTTCCACAACCCAGATAATTCTGATGAATTGAAACTATCCTTAAGGCTATTCCTGGAGAGAAAATATGATCAACATACAATTAGGATAATGTTATTTTCCGAAATGTCAATAGGAAATTAAAGATTTATTTGTTACACTTAAAAGTAAAGGTTAACTATTTTCTTATATATCCGTCATTGCACCACAGAAAGTAATATAGACCCGGTCTTACTGCATTTTTGTGATACAACACAATCACAAAACCCTTTTAACTCCTTTGTTTTTGAGAAAGGTGGAATTGTTAGAAACAATTACCGGTGAATTATCTTTCATTTTTAAAAGAATAACATGCCTACGGTTTTTATTATCAAATGACTCGGTTGAATATAATCTATATATGGAGAAAGAGTTTCAAAGATAAAAGAGAATACATGTAAATGTCCTCTAAAATATCGTTTTGCCTGTTTTCGAAACTGACAACGCACACCTGATGATACAAATTATGTAGCGTTCCTCGTGATTGTCAAAATTTGTGAACATCAGGTGCATAGTTCGGTACCACATCAGTTTTCCCGACAACGCAATCAGCATAATTATTCACCAAGCTCAACAATTACGTCTGAACTTGTAAATTACATTTGCTTATCTAATGTAGACTCGAGACGTTTACCAATACTCGTTTATTCAAAACATAAGACAAAACTTTGATCAACGTTGCTTTAGCTTATATCCTTTAACAATGTATTTTTCTTCCTTTTTTGGTTCGGTGCAATTCAATTTCTCAGAATTCCAATTTTCATTGTGGCTTCTTTGTACTATTGCACTGCTACAATTATTTTGTTTCCAGTTAAGCAATGAATTCTAAAAGCTTGGTACGATAGTTATTTTCGAAATGTGATTGAAGTTATCATTGGATCTCTTATTCCATATACTGTATTTTCCTGCAAAACAAAAATGTTCTGCAAGAGAAAAACCACTAAAATAAAGATACATAAACATTAAATGTTTCTCCTACTATATATAGCCATACGTATAAATTATGACTTTCCAGTGGGACAGTTCATATGAATAAGCAAAACAAATATGTCATTTTCAGACAACACTTAATATAAGACAACAAAATACACTACATAGAATCGACCACCATCGCAGGCTAGACAAAAAAGTATGAAGTGGAAGATTAAGAAAAGACGAAATATATAAAAGTGTAATTTATATAGTAGTTTGGTCAAATACCAGTTGAAAATTTTAGTGATTAACACGAATATTTTGATACTTCTACGACCTATTGATAACACTGAGTATCGGTCTGAATCACATTACCTACGATATTTCATAGGCCGAGCATTTGTTTACTTTAATAGTAAATTCATATTCTAGAATAACTTAATATATATCCACATATACAGCAATAGCTCATTTTAGATGACCTAACAAATTGCCACTTATCACGCTTACTATATCGTATAGACTTGTCTGTCTCTCAATTTGGCCAAAACATGTAAAGGACAATTTTAGAATATGTCCTGACTGATGTGCCGGTCGATCGTGGTCTGCACTGGTCGCATGCGTTTGGTGGAATCAGTTGCCACCAGCAGAATAAAGATTTAGATTAAGGATTGAAATTTATGGAGTGGTAAATACATGCCAGATTAGTGTAAGAAGTTAAAAACAGTAGGTATATGAAGAAAAATAAAGAAACAAAAACATGTGAAGGTAATGGAAAGAGGCACAAATGTATGTCTTGTTCCGTGTATGAACATCAAATACAGGAACATTCAATGACAATTCTGCTATGTTCTAATTATTTGAATTATATTTCTTTAGTGTGGTCAAAAGAGAAAAAGGAATTTCGAGTTGTTAACATCGACCCAAAAGGTATCTTTTCACTTTTCAATAATTAATATATTAGATTACACAAACAATAAACTACAAATTATATATCAAGATATCTTGGCGAAAGAAAAGCGCTAACAAACATAACTTGTAATGTTTTTATTAATTTACATGAGGTTACGATAAAAGTTCCAATCTGGTAAATTTTGTGTAATATGTTGCACTTTTAATTTTCACTTCTGGAGGAAAAAACTTGTTTTTTTTATTTCGTTTTTGGGTCATTTTTGTGGGGAAGATATTGCTGTTGATCAGATGATATTTTTGCATGTTTTTTTGTTTCGTTTACAATATTTGTGCTTATTTTGTATTCTCCAGATGGTAGCAACAATCAGCTAAATGACATACCGCAACAAGATTATCAAGCTCACGAAGATGGAATTAAACAATCAACCGGTCATGGATCACGTGGTAAGTGCTGATAGCAATAATGATATGACATTTTCTAATCATATTGTAAACTCTTCATTTTTATGTTAAGATATTTCTTATGCTAAACATTTAAAGAACTAAGCATATTGCTCAAATGAAATCTTTTCAAGTACTAGTTTAGTAAATGTTATGTTGATAATTTTAAAAATGACTTAAAAGAAAAAGATATATCAGTGATTAAAAAAATGCTATTTGTTATTAGACTCTTGTTAACAGAAACGGGTCTGTTATACTAAATAAACATAATTAAAAAAATATGCTATAGAGCAGTAATTATTCGGAACAAATCGTTTTGATCCTTGCTTTTAATCATCAAGCTTTATCACATCCACCTGAATTTGTAGTAATATTTCTGTCAGATTTCTAATTTTTTATGCAGCAAATTATTTTTTATAAAGTCGATGTAACCCCCTTGATTTATGTCGGAATGAACTGAACGGAATCAACTATAGAGACGATTTCATGCCATTTTTTAAAATAATTTCAAAACTCTTTTTCTCTGATATTTTAGGATCAAGATCAAGTGGAACTAACTCTGTCAACCATGCTTCGAGGACTATATGTTCATTGATACAATACATGATCATGTTTCTTCTACACTTGTTCTCACATCAAAGGTAAACGTAGTGTCCTACTGACAACACTTGTCTACTCTTGATTTCCAATATCTAAAAGATTTGTCGGGAAATGCTTAATTTATTGCCAAACCTAATAAACTTAGTTTATGTTGAAATAATTTATATTTTTAAACATGCCTTAAGAACAACTTTATCTCCAGCTGAGACTCAAGAATGACGATTTCTATTCTCGCAAATTGTCTTACTTTCCTAATTTGTCACACATGACAAATATCAAGCTAAATACAATAATTTATGCTACCAAATCGAAATTTGGTTGCTAAAGAAACCAGTCCCTTATGATTTAGAAAATTTCCGTAAAATACAAATATTGTCGTTTTCATCTTGTAAGATAAATGAAATAATTCTTCTTTTTTGTAGGAACTTCAGTTTTCATAACTGAAAACAACAGAATTGCGGATCGATCGGTACAAGAATTGTGAAAGGAGGACGAAAAAATAGTTTTGTGAAAAAAAAAATAAGAAAAGAAAGAAGTAATGCTTATATTGGATGTTTACATGTAAAAAGCGGAAGGAAAATGTTGTTACTAATATTATAAAAAATGCAAGAATTCCTGGGAGATTACTTGCACAATGTGCATAAGTTATATTGAAGGTTATTTGATACTCTTTTGCTCATTTCAGATGTTTATGATTTCTCGGCAATTAGTTGAGAAAGTCTTTTTTATTCATATTAATTTATGTAAATTGCATCTTCATATAAAATGGTGATTTAGCATATATCATGCAGTATTGTGTGCTTATAAAATGTTTTATCAACTAACGGTGTATTGTTGAAATGATGTCATGAAAATATTACTCAGAATAAGAAGTTGATCAGTAATTTCACGTAAAATAAAAACTGTTATGTTAAATTAAGATATTTGTTTTATGCAAGTCATTAAACATGTATATGTGTAGCATCTTTAGACTAGGATTTCACGATGCAATGAAACAATGGAGCGTGTTCAACATTCTATCAAAGGAAGTTGAACGCAAGTTGCGATGTCTGTGATACTTTGTATTTATCTATATACATGTATAGTAATTTCCAAAATTCCATAATCTTATTTTAATATATTCAACATGCTGCAGAAAAGGTACTTTACATTATTTCATCAAATCAAACATGTAACCTATCCCGTTCAGTTAAATAGATATGTAAGTTTTCAGACATAACCATCCTAGACATCATGATTTATATCAAAAGAGGAAGTATGTCTGACTTTCAAACAGCAGCAAATGAAAACAACCTTAACAAATTATAAAATATCTCATAGACGAAATATGTTGAGTTAAGAAGAGAAATAACTGGGAAAACACATTATACGTATTTACATTTTGGAACCATGCTAAACTAAGAAACAAAATGAAGATAGAATGGGAATGGCGGCCTGGCCGAGTGGTAAACGCATCGGACTAGTAATCTAGACCGCGTGGAATCAAACTTGTTGGTTCCAGGAACGGATTCGGGGATGTTTCAATAGGCTTATAGCTTCCAACACATTCGAACTAAAATAAATTTGTATAAACTAAGAAAGAACGGGACAAATGTTAAATGTTTTATACTTAAAGAAAATAGAAACTTGGTAATTTATCTTCACTTAACAAAGTGTATACGCTTTATGTAAAGGATTGACTTAGATATGCACTTTGTATATTTATTGTGATAAAAAACTAGTATAGTATTACACTAAAGGACATAGTGCTCTGTAAATCTAGAAGGTTTCAACCTGTATTGTAGGCTCTACCATGACTCATACACGTTCATTATAAAGTTTTCACAGACAGTTAAATAAATTAATCGAAGATGCTACAGCAACATCATTTTGTTGCATTGGAAATAAAATAATAAGTGTAGATAATATACAAGATTACAAGGAATGGAATAAGCACATTGACGATAGTCTTGTTCAACTGTACTTACATAATGAGCATGATAGGAATATAATTTATATTTCAAGTAAACTTTGCCTGTGAACATCGGTTGACCACATGATACACGATTTTAGATTACTATTCCAGACAATGTTTATTGTAAAGTTTGCTCGAAGTTGCACAAAAAAGGACTTTTTATGATATAAGCACGGATTGTCCTTGGACAATAATGTGCTAAACGAATCATGCTTTATGCGATAATGCTGAAATATGGTTGTCTTTTTTATATTTTGTTTTGTTACTTAAATACTTTATAAGATACTTTATAATATATGTAAATATATTTCTTACATAAAATGCTAAAACAGTTGTTGTCATATTGTTCTTTTAACCCTGTTGAAAGTCGTTATACATCTAGATAGATGTACATGCACTAAATTGCTTACAAACCTCGTTGATCGTATTTTAAGGTTTAACACTATATGTTTTGCTGTACTAAACATATAGTCATGTTAATATAAGTATATTAACAAAAAATGATGTGTTTAAATTAATATTTAAAACAAATACAGAAGGATGTGAAAACAAGTCTTCACAGAAGACTTATAGTATAATGATTCATTATGTAAGTAAATCTTTTAACAATTTGGAGGTGAGATAATCTGACAATAAACATGTTTAAACTACTGGCTGTCCTTCACTGTATTAATATTTCTGATAAGATCGGTTGCTTTTTCCGCAATCATTATTGTTGGGGCGTTTGTGTTACCGGAAGTTACTTTTGACATCACAGAGGCGTCTGCTACTCGTAAACTTGAAAACCTTCATCCTTAATACAATTCAGGAATAGATTTTATGTTATTTCAAAAAGAAAGAAATTATATATATTTTTTCTTCTTTTTATTTCACATTCTAAATCGTTTAAAATATAGTACATGAACTTTTTGATATGTTCTTTGATCTTAAATGCATATAACATATTGTGTAACATTTTTCGTTGATAATATACATTCATTTATTATGTATTTAGATATTTCAAATTTGCTTAACGTCATTTGAATCTTTGACCTCTTACTCTTAAATCTAAATCATATTTCAACATTTTATATTAAGATATAATTTACATATTAAAGTGTTTTAAATGTTTTCGTATGTATAATAAAATAAGACTGTAGTGATAGTGTAAAATCATTTTCAAATGAGCAAATGTTTATACCATTGAGTCAATTTGTCATATTGTAGTAAAAATTATGTATTATCACCTATCAATTAATATGAGCTACATTATGAAGTTGAATTAACGCTTGACAAATTATCATTAAATTTAATAAAAAAAAAGTTCGAGTCATGGTCTTAAACTTTAAACTTTCATCTTATACTTTCCTAAGAAATAGATTGTTTCCTACAAAAAGAAAACGTTTTGACATATGATGCGAGATTCAGTTTTTGTTTAACATAAACATATATAAAAAAAATATACTGGATACAATACACATTTTTAATCTATTATCACTGGCAAATATCATAAATATATCGACCATTCTTGTGTTATTCACTGGAGCGATGTGAAAGTTTATAATTAAAAAGGTATACTAGTACTTGTATTTTTGCCAGAACCAGTCTTGGTTTCTTACGCACAGAATGACATTTTTGCAAAGCTGCCGAAAGCAGTATGTTCAATTAACGCTGTCTATATCTTGTTACTAAATTTCTTGGATTTCTTTGAGGTACTCCGATATATATACCTACACTCATATACTTATTCATAGAAGTTAATCACTCGTATGTTGATACAACTTATCATTATTACATATGTTTCAACTTCCTACGGATGTCTTTCACAGTATCAATATTTCTGATAAGATCGGCTGCTTTCTCCGCAATCATAATCGTTGGGGCATTTGTGTTACCGGAAGTTACTTTTGGCATGACAGAGGCGTCTACTACTCGTAAACCTTGGATACCTTTTACCCTATAAATGTAAGAAAGTTAGAAAATATATTAATGTAATATGCATCATAGCTAAACCTTATACAAAACAATACCTAATATTATATGACAATGTTTATTAAAAGTCAACAAAAAGGAGCTAAAATCATTAAATCCTAACATTATTACTTTTCTAAAACTTTTAATACAAACAGATTTACAGATATCTATTTTTACACCTGAGTTGAGGATCAACAACAGCGGTCGGGTCTTCCGTTCTACCCATTTTACAAGAGGATGTTGGGTGGTACACTGTAGTTCCAAAATGTCTTATGATACATTCAATGTAAGAGTCAGAAAGAAATCCGTGATGTGCACACTTCGGAAAAACTCTACTTTTATCTTCAATATCCACTCCAATATCTCCCATTGCTTTTGTTTTAAGAAGCCGAACAGTTTCTTTCATTCCTATTGAAAATAAATATTTCAACCTTTTATTATAGATATGATAATCCTTTTGATACAGACAATAATCTTCATTTTGATAATAAAACTTCCAAAAGTGAAAGAACTATTACCATTGGTTCAATGCCTTAATTAGTCACAGCTTAAGAATTAAATATTGCGTCTTTTCTACTAATATATTTAATTTTTAATGTATTCCTTGAAATAATGACCATTTCTTAATTAAATTTAAACAAAAAGACATAATCATGTTTATACAATTGATATGGTTAATTTGTACACATTCTCAATTTCTACTTCGATTTTATATAAAACTGTCTTTAAAAACTACAGCTTGTTTGCAAACCTTTAATAAGCATTTTAAGATCGTTAGGATGCTGGAGGTAGTTTGGAATGATGTCCGGGACTCCAAATGGGTCGCTTTTATTAAGTTTAATTTCACCACGACTTTTTGGGTGTAAATCGGTAACCATTACAGAAAATCCAAGCTTCCCATTATTGTTTTCATTCACTTTTTCGTAGTACTCCCAAATCTATAAGAATAATAACGATGCCCATCATTTTCATGTACAAAGTAAATAATTCTCTTTGATCCTTGTAAATCAAACCTTAAAAAAATAACTAGCATAAACCATACATTCATTATAATTTATAATTCATCATAATCAGCATAAATTTATTACATTCCTTGAAAATTAATGAAATAAAATGTAAGTTTTTATTTTCGGAATTTTCACTTTAAATATTTTTTTTTACTGCAGTGAAACATATTTCTCGTATTTCCTCTGGTGCCTTGCCAAAATTCAGCCAGTACACAAAATTTATGTTAATTGAGGCTTTTAAATTGTTACGTGTTAAAAGAAAAAAAATGTATATATAAAACAGAAAACTCTAGTTTTTTTCTATAAATACAAGATTTATTTTAATCTTGTGATATGAAAATTATCACTCAATGAAAATAAATCATGTATCTATAGACAAAAAACTTGCATATCCTCTATTTAGTACACAATGACGTAAAATTTGACAATTTACAAACATTCCAGCTGCTTGAATATTTAATGGAATATATTGAAGTCTCCATATACATAAATCATGTTCAAACTTAAGTATGAGTTTGTTAATGTATGTTTATAGTGATAAGATTGAAGAAACTGATTATATGTATCAACTAGTTCATTGAGCACGTTACCAATCTATAGTTGTATAATCCTAAATTTGGTGGAAAATGTTTTATAGGTATCATTTCATTATGTTTTTACCCATTTATTCTCAATATCTTGACATAGTTTTTTTTTTCTTAAAGAGATATATTCACATATCTCAAAACATCATATTAGTGGTAAATAATCACCTCATCTTTGAAGCTCACAAACTGTTTCACTGCATCTAAACTATTTTCTGTCAACAGGGGTATGAAGTGTAACTGTACATCCGGTTGACCTGGTCTGATTTTTTTTATTTCTTCATCAAGTTGAAAGAACGCCAAATCTGTCACAATGCCTGTGTTCCGCAGCCAACCTTATCATAATCAAAATGCTATGTTAAAATAAAAGTGTATATAGTTAAATGTACATCAAAACATAACTATTACCTTATTGACAATACCAACAATACCAAAATTTCACAGACTTCACTCGATAGATTTCGTGAGTGAAAGGACAGACATTACATTGCAATCAAAGTTGACAGACCCGAATTGATCAATTTAAATTTTACCCAAAAAAATATCATTCTAGCATATCTTACCTTCACCTTTCCACAGATAGTTTAGAATACTAGAGATACTAGTTATCTCTGAAGGTGAGATGAGATCTGTTGTGTTTGTATTACACGGTAAACTAATGTACATTTGATCTTGTAAATTCTGTCCAACTGGTAAATCAGCGATAACATTGATCTAAATTCAAAAATATAAATAAAAGAAGTATGACTTTGTATTATTTTTGCATAAATTACGATTTTATATTTCGTATGCTTTTCCCCCTTTTTTCATTTTTTTTCTTTTTATTGATTGATTTATTTATTTTAAGAGTTTCCATTTACAAAGTGTAATATATTATAACAAATAAGTGGATGTTTTGGTATATTACATAAATATAAATCAAGCACACGATGTATCATTATTCAACTGGGACTTAATTTGAAACACTTACTCCGACGTCTTTTAAATGCGTTTTCGGACCAATACCAGACAGCATGAGAATATGTGGGGACATCACAGTACCGGCTGACAAAATAACTTCCTTCCTTGCCTTCACTGTCAATGTCTGATTGTCTTTTATCACAGACACACCAGTTGCTCTCTTGTTTTCTACGAGTACCTTAAATAACATACGTTACCACAATAAAAAGAAATTTTACCCGCGTATGAAGCTGTCTGTAAAGCGTAATGAAAAATAGAAATTTATGTTTTTTGATATTATATATTTCACATCTGATATTCACTAAATTTGGTGATCTTGACAATTATGACTATGTATCAATTAAAGATGAATAGAAAATGCTTTGCCAGAAATGAAAAAAAAATGATAAACTCAGACCAATCAAGAAAAGATGTAATGGTTCGGCAAAGTAGAGATAAAAACGGTTCCCTAAAATACAAAAAAGCAAACTTAAAATGTGGCAAGTTCGATTTGGGTTGAGCCTGTAAATTGACAATAATGGTTATTGCGACCTTCTGTCTATACTTATATTAAACCATCGAAAGCTGTATTACGTACATACAGTTCAAACTTGGTGATATAATAAGAACTTGTATGCTACACATAGTATCTTTAAGATCCTGTGTAATGAAATACTTGCGGCGAGAAGTGAGAGATAAAAGTAACCTTTCGAACATGTGAATGCAATGATATATGTAGATTTTTTCTATACATGACTGGCCAGATAAAACTTCTTGATGTACTCGCACGAAGTCCATTTGCTGTAACTGTTCCTTGCACGTGGCATATACCTAAATTGTTTTGTGAGAATCACAAATGAATATAAGAAAATAACATATTCTTAAAAGAATTTATGGTGTTTATCAGTTAATATAGTTGACGCGTTTCAGCCATTTCATTGGCCACAATTACTATTCAAGTTTACATGTTTTTAATTCAGAGTAAAACTTTTGATATCACACTCTGTAATCAACTATATAATTTACATTTGAAAAGTACATGTACTTCAAACTTTTTGGTTATGAAATAAACATCATAATTTACATACTAACCAGGGGTAGATAGTATTTTTTCACGCACTGTTAGTTAAGCGTATCTGCCAATTCAGACATACTTTATAGAAAATATTTATCATAAAATTAACCATTTACTGAATTTTCATGTATAGATATAATCTGTTCTAGTTCAGGATCTTTACAAATATTTTTGCCCATATTACCGGTATTCTTTATTTGTACATATACATACTTTTATTTCAGATACCCCAGGTAGTACTTACCTATCATGTCAGCACCGTTACAATCTGTTGTCATATATCCTATCTCTGCTCCAGCCTCAGATATTGTGTCAGATAATGACGTAATGTTGTTGTAAGTTATTGGCAACATACCTCCCGAATTGTGATATTCTGACAAATATTAAATATCTTGAAAATGTTTTCTTTTTATAATGGTCCAGGAGATATTATCATCTATCAAAAATATGGATGACAATTACTGTTTTTTCAATTTGTTAGGTTTATCGAATGATCGTTGGATATCGGTTGAACTACATGTCCCTATCCAACGCTTTTGTAGTTTTTCAATCTTTAAGAAGGGTTCTGACCAAATGTATAGCCATACCACCAAAGTAGAAGATTTCTTTAGTCGCATATCACGTGGGATGTTTTTTATGTATGAAAGAAAGAGAAATGGTCCGAGGAATGACCACTAGGGCTCCAAAAGTAACCGAAAATTCGGTCCATCACCTTTAAAGCTTTTAGACGATAAAATGATGCATTTTAATGAATTATATTTCATGGCTCACCTTAACAAAAGCTTAATTTTATTTAATTCTAAAAGGATAATGACTTCTTATTTGTTGCAATAGACTGGTACAATAGAAGGTCATTACTACACACTCCAGCTAGATCAAATAGGATCATTTAGCACGAAACCATGTTGAAGACGAAATGGAGCGCAAAGGTTTGTCAAAAAGGTTAAAAAATGTACAATACTCAAGATGCTCAACAAGTCAATCAATGCCACTGAAATAGAAATATCTTTATCAACATAAACCTATAAAAAATTGGTCTTGATGAGATATTTTACGGGCTCGTATATCATAGAATCCTCTTTCAGAAATACATAAATGAGGGAAACACATAAAATCAATGGACATCTACAAAAGTATCCCCAATTTAAAAGAAGTGATAGGTCAAACCCAGCTAATAACAGGCCATATTCTCTGATAAATGTATATTTTAAAACTTTAAAACAGTACAGCTAAGATTCATTGTGTATCATAATGCAATATTTATAGTAGATTTGTTACTAAACGTTTACTTGAATTGTTCATGAATGTTTTTATATTATGTTATGAAGCTTGTTTGATATTAAATATGTGGCAATGATGCCTGTGTATAACTTCTTACTGTTTTAGATGTGACAGTGGAATCAGATTCATTAAATATTAAGAATTTCTTCAAAGAATAGTTGTTGTTCCAATATTACAACTATAAACTTACTTGAATCTTTCAGGTCATCAATGAGAATATCTTCTGATTTAAGGAAGTATGGTAGAACATCATTATACCCCCAGCCTTCACACCCCATGGACGCCCACTCATCAAAATCATGTCTACTGCCACGAACATGAATCATACTGTTATGATTACTGGTTCCGCCTAAACATTTTCCTCGTGGCCAAAAACCTTTCTTTAAAAATATCTTAGATATTTAGTATTGTTGTATAATTAAGGATAGTGAGACTCTTTTTTTCGTTTCTTTTTAAATATAGTATTTGAATATGTTTATTATTTATTGTACAATGTTGTTTTTTTTTAAACAATTATATAGTGACATGATTGTTTTCATAAATCAATTTTGATTGAATACAATCGAACATGATTTTAAAGTAAAGTGATTTTAAACTTTGTAGATTTGTAAAAAAGAAATTTTAATACAATCAATCAAAACTTTTATTTAACTCTTGTAGTTAAATGAGCACATGGGTTTAATATTTGTGTTACTACTGTAAAAATCACAGTCTTGGTATACCATTCGAAACCAATATTCCAATTTGTGTTTGGGTTTTACAATAAAAACATCAAAACGATCCCATAACTGTAAACATTTATTTGTTCATTGCTTAAAGAATTTTTTTGGTTGGGATTTAAGTCGAATCAATACTGACATGGTCATATTGCGACTTTCCAGATTAGTGTACCGGTGGAGAAAGACATCACGTCAAACGATCGTACGGTCTGGAACCTGAGTAGAACCACCGGCGTTCCGTAATCTAGTGTGATAGCTTCATCACGGGTTTCTGGAGGGACTGGAATCTACAGCAGGGAGGAGCAAATGATGTAAAATCAACGAACTTAGCCACACGGCCACGGACGCCCCTGCTAAAGTCCTAAACATAACTTGACAGATTATTTGTAATTTAAAATTTTTACCTCTTCTTTATAGTTTAAAAAACTGTTATCTTGTTTGACTGTATATAAGTCCCAGTCATATTTGGAATGTTGAAGTAGTCCATATAAAAATGGTGTAGACAACATAATATTACCCATATCATCTCCACCAGCTTCTAGAAGAAGAACCGAGTTTTCCGGATCTTCCGATAACCTAGAGGCGAGTACGGAACCGGCTGATCCTGCGCCAACTGTTTAATACATAAAATATAACATCACAATTTGTCAGGTGTCTGGTGACACATTGATAGTTTTATAAAGTGAATCTATTTTGAAGAGATGTTATTAGCTCACTGCGTGATGTGTTTTCCTTTTCTTTCTGAAAATAATAAGTATGAACAAAGACACTTTAGTAAGTAAATATTGCTTTTCTTATTTGATCAAGAGTTATTTGTTTTATACTTGATTTAATGTCAGCTTTTCTGGTCAAAAAATAGGTATTATAGTCGTTAGCATATTCAGACCATCTAATAGTATTATTATATAATGATTAAAGGTACGTTTTCAGTATTGTGTTCTTAAGATACCTAAATACAGATTCTTTGACTTTAACTGATCTTATTCTTAATCTCACCGACAATATAGTCATATTCCTCTAAAAGTTTGTCCACAACTTTCGTCCCTCTCCTCCATGATATTATATAGGTAGACAAAACAGCGAATAAACCAACTAGAAAAATAACAATGTTTCTTCCCATTTCCTTTTATTGTCCTGAAAATATGAAAGAAAACAAAAAAAAATAATCGTGGCATCGTGTACGTCACATTTACCTTTTTTAACCACTGCAATCATTACAACTTGCGTAACGATAAGAATATCATGTGGTAAAAATAGCGCCTATTTAGAAACTTGGTAATTTTACTTGTTTTACGAATATTTTTCAAAGTTTACTTTTAATACTTTGTTGTACACGAAACATAATCAAAAATTAGCTTTAACTTTAAATACCAAAAGTGATACTGAAATGTAGTTGTGTTTGCAGATCAGGGGAAGTAACCGCTACGAGGAGTTTCATATATTGACATCTGGTAATCATAACAGTTGTGTTTCATTGATATATACATGTATGTAGCTTACAACATTGCGCAATTTAAAGTGCATAGTAGAAGTGTTCTTCAACGTTGTTGTCAGTTGTTCTCAAGATGTTGTCATTATGTTTCATTTACAAGGTTTCCCCTCCAGCCGATTTAAAGCAATGTCCTAAATCCACACTTCTTTACAAAACTGTGTGGTGGTCAAATTTAAGCTTAGTTAAACTTTTTTAAAACAAAACATCTTAGCGTTCAATTATTTTAGGTATATCAAAATGAAACGTTTACCTTTAATTATGTATGTCCATAATAAGCTATAAAACCATTCAGTAAGAGATTTCTACATGATATAAACAGATTGTTTGTTGATTATTCAACTATTAAATTTCAGATATGTACGCATATTGAATTACAGTATTTAATATGGTATTTAACACGGTGTTCCGTGAGGGCCATCATCTACGAATGAAGTAATCTGAAACGCGAGGAGAACACGCATTTGCGATTGCCCTAATTGATCACCGTATTTAAATGATACATAAAACACTTGACATCAAACTATTCGTTCCGATTTTAAATGAAATAGTGATGACATATTTGATATTCAGATCTAGTAAAGTGTTTTGTATATATAAACTTGTTTATGTTACGGTCTTGTTGTGTGGTGGGATTGAGATATACAGATTATAGAATAATTGTGTAGCTGTGATGATAATTTTGAAGTGAACCGTCCTTTTGTGAAAGATAATTACAATGATTAGTTACTTTTACATGGCTTCTTCACGACATAATACAATTTCTAGTTTCCGGACAATCAAAGAACGTAACATCACCAACAATATACAAATATTTGATATTTTCTTTTTTCAATTGTAAGAAAGTGTATACATTCGCAGTATTTTTTATAACATTCCATTCATTTACGGCGATTAAAAGTTATTTTTATAAAAGTTTACAAGTATGCATACAGAAAAAAGTACAAGGAAAGTAGAACTGAAGCAATGGAAAAGGGTTTAAGTACATTACTCTACATGTAATGTAATTTTCACATGCCACTGTAAGAAAAATAAAATAGTTCACAACAATGAGGTACTCCATCTCCGGTATTTTCAATGTCTGTGCTCTCACTCGTAGGTATAAATATTATTCATATATATATATCTGTGATTTTCGACATGAATAGTACTACTGTTATTTCTTAAAGTGAAAAAAGATGTTCCTAAAACAACATTTTAAGATAAGTAGTCATCTTGTATAATGCTCATTTTTGACAATTTACTTGACGATTAAATTTTAGCCATTAGAAAATAGTGCTCGCTAAAACGATACATACTGTATTCTCAGAACGTTAACTTCCTCCTAAATATTCGCTGACACATAAATAAAGAAAAAACAAGTTAATGTTAGATACAATATAATAAAACATGTTGGTATCAAAAGTAATTCTTCAAAGTTTACATTACAGAATGTGCAATTGTCAAAGAAAGACAGATACAGGTGTGAGTTCAACATAAAAATACACAAAAAGAAGTCAATTTTCTTTTCTTTTTTATTTTTGAATAAAATAATGTTTATTTCATGATATTATATTTTGTGATATAACAAGACTTGAAAGATTGTTTATAAACATAAATGCTCATAACATTAAATTTATTTGTAACGTTGTAGGAAAATAGTTATAAGCAGTTAACAGTGATTGAAAGCGTAAAAAAGGTTGTTAAAGACAAGGCAAAACGCGCAATGGTATGTTAGCGTAGTTAATTCAAAATCAAAAGTTAATAAAGAAATACAATACGTATTAAAATTCGTTGTTGTGCAGTAACTGTACAAGTGAAAGCTTTAAAAAGAATAAAATGAAATTCCAACTCTATCTGAACCATTCTGTATTTCGGAGATATCTGTGTACTCAAATTATGACAAGTGAATACCCCAAAGTATATATTTACCATTTTTCAGACCTTATTCCTTCAGATCGATCTCTGAGACACTTCCTCATTTGATTCTCATCTTATTATTCAAGACAGAAAATCACGTGTATGCTATGTTTATAACCTAACATTATTTAACATGTTTTAACTTCATACGAATATCCTTCACTGTATCAATATTTCTGATAAGATCGGCTGCTTTTTCCGCAATCATGATCGTTGGGGCGTTTGTGTTACCGGAAGTTACTTTTGGCATCACAGAGGCGTCTGCTACTCGTAAACCTTGGATACCTTTTACCCTTTTAAAATAAAAGATGATGAGAAAGTGAATTTATGACAGGTCAAAACTGAAAACATTCAGATATTTAAGGGTAAATTGCTAATCTTTTTATCTTAATCATAGAGGTTCACTAGATCTTGCTAAAAAGGCCACCGATACTTTATCTATTTTGTAACAATATTGAAAAGAAGAAACAAAGGTTTATCAGTATACAAATGGAATTATATCATTTCTAATATTAACACATTTTTTGTAATTATTTTGAGTTCACTTTTAGATATTTACAGGTATTTATTTGACAGGAATAGACAGTACCTGAGTTTATTATCAACCACTGACGCCGGGTCTTCCATTCTACCCATTTTACAAGTAGATGTAGGGTGGTATTGTGTAGTTCCAAAATGCCTAATGAAACATTCAAAGTATGCGTCAGAGAGAAACCCGTGATGTGCACACTTGGGATATGCCCTGTTTTTGTCCTCAATATTCACTCCTATACTCCTCATTGCTTTTGTTTTAAGAAGTCGAATAGTTTCTCTTATTCCTATTAAAGATACATATTTGCAAATTATAAAGATTTCAAAGTCAATATTGATAATAAAACTTGGATATTTTTCGGATATGAAAAACGTCGATATTGAACATATTGGTATAACTAGTTTATTGACCTATTAAGTAACAACTAAAAGGTACTCTTTCTTCGTGATGAATATAAAGGCTATCATATTATACTGACCCAGGTATGTGACTAAAATTTATCATCTTTATCAATTGCAATAATTTACTTGTACAATTTCTAAGATTAATACTTAAATAAAAAAATAATAGTTCACCAACCTTTAATAAGCAATTTGATGTCGTTTGAATGCTGGAGGTAGTTTGGAATGATTTCCGGGACTCCAAATGGGTCGCTTTTGTTAAGTTTTATTTCACCACGACTTCTAGGGTGTAAATCACTAACAAGTACAGAAAATCCCAGCTTTCCATCACCGCTTTCTTTTAATCTATCTAAATACTCCCAACCCTATAAAAATAATTACGGCAGTATATAAGGTGTCGAGTCTTCAAAGGAATAAAGAAACTTAACTGTTTATTATCCATGGCTATCAAACCGTATCCAAAAATAGCAAGCATAAATCATACACATATTATGATTCATATAATTATTACACAATTTAACATTTTTACAGTTTTATTTCAAGTAAGGAATAAATATAAGTCGTGTTTTACAAAAAGAATTCATTTAAAATAATCATAATTATTCGAATTTGAAGTATATCATTTGTTCTAATGCATGTTTCATATTAAATAAGTTTAGCCTGCTTTTGTATTCTATTCAGCGGTTCGATCACACTATTATCTTTGCTTGTAACATCGTACGGGAGAAAAGTGTGAGAAACATTACACTTTTTAAACTCCATGTTTAAACACCTTGACAAGTTGTAACGCCTGACTTTTGTTAGAGAATTCTTATATATTGCAAATGAGTCTTATTGGAGATATAAAAATCACCTCATCTTTGAAGGTCAGAAACTGTTTTACTTCATCGTCACTGTTTTCTACCAACAGGGGTATAAAGTGTAACTGTACGTCCGGTTGACCAGGTCTGGTCTTTCTTATTTCATCATCAAGTTGAAAGAAAGCTAAATCTGTAACAATGCCTGTGTTCCGCAGCCAACCTTAATACATTTATACGCTGATGTTATGCATGGCATATTATAAGCGAAGAAAAATTATTATAATTATAAACTGCAATTACTGAAAAATATCCCTTGATAAATGTCTCATTGAGAGGACGGAAATGTGTTCAAATCACATTGACAATGTCACATTAATTTAATCAAACTTTTTGACACACATTGCAGAATTGAAAAGTAACAGAGCATGTATTACCTTTTCCATTCCATAGGTACTCTAGAATACTAGACAGCAGAGAACTCTTTGAATTTGAAAAGAGATCAGTTGTGTTTGTAGTACACGATAAGCCAACATAGAGGTGGTCTTGTAAGTTTTGTCCGACTGGTAAGTCAGCAATAACATTGATCTGAAATTTCAGAAAACTAATTTAAAGTATAAAAAGTATTTCCCTTTTCTAAATTATGACTTTATTTTATAGTGTTACTATATTTGCAATTAAAATTTTGCGTGACAAATAATAATAATAATGACAAATAAGTCAAAATATAAATATACGACGAGTTTCAGTTGCAATGAACTTAAAATACACTTACCCCGACGTCTTTTAAATGAGTTTTCGGACCAATACCAGACAGCATGAGGATTTTTGGGGACATTACAGTACCGGCTGACAAAATAACTTCTTTCCTTGCCTTCACTGTCAATGTCTCGTTATTTTTTGTCACAGACACACCAGTTGCTCTCTTGTTTTCTATGAGTACCTTCAATCACAAACGTTATCAATTTAACCTGCATATAAAACAGTACAAAGAATTGTATTTTCTGTGCTATGACAAAATGTAATTGAAGTCTTCAGGTATGATACATTTTACTTTTTCAGAAAAAGACATTTTTTACATAATGACCTCAAATAAAAAGCGTTAAAAACCTTTTAGCTCATATAAAGTGAAGAATCTGACACAATTGATTTAAGATTTAATTATGAGTGTTTTCATACTATCTTCCGAATACTTTACTGTTCGAAGTGCCCCCGATGGATCAAAGAATGTATTTTAAATTTTATGTCTTACCAGGCTTTTGGACTTAACATACTGGTTTAATCAATAAAAACTTGATACAATTTTAAGCCCTCCATGGTATAACACAGTATATCTTTTGTAAAGAAATACTAGCAACCATTGAGAATTAAAATTAACCTTTCGAACATGTGAATGCAATGATATATGTAGATTGTTTCTATTCATGACTGGCCAGATAAAACTTCTTGATGTACTCGCACGAAGTCCGTTCGCTGTAACTGTTCCTTGCACGTGGCACATACCTAAATTGTTTTGGAAAAAAATACGCAAACGTCAATATATAATTTATGTCGTTATTCAGTAAATACAGTCGTGTCAATATATAATTTATGTCGTTATTCAGTAAATACAGTCGTGTCAATTAAGTTAAACGCCCTGGATAGCCAGTATATTTTAGCTAAACTTTTAATGCCACATTTTCAGTTATAAACATTATTCAGATTGATAACTTTTACAAAATTATCTTTATTCCGCCGAATTTAACCCAAATTAAGTCAAGATCCGGAACTTGTATTTTAATGCATATATTCAACCAGTATTTGATTATGTATTACTTTGGTGTGACAGTAGCGCAGAATATATAAGCAAGATGTTTAATACACAAAATGTGCTACAAGAAAGTTTGACCGCAATTTTAAGAATTAAAATTGATTCCTTTCGGTACTCGAAGAAACAATCATATTGGATAACTTGTAAACGAGACAGTAAGGATATTAAACGAATGTAGGTTCAATACTGAATTTATTGAACTCGTTGAATAAAAGATATATATTATGGCGAGCATTCAACGAGTTCAATTAATTTAGTAACAACGCTAAACGAATATAATATTCTATTTATCTTATACCTCAAATAAGAAATGTTTGCAGAGAATAAAACACATTTTAAAACTGAAACGCTAACATTTTGCGCTTCTTTACGCTATGTTAGTTTAACGCAAATGGTGTCACGTCAAAATATATGCACAGACGTAATTGTATTTCCGTTTTTACGGCACGGTAATGTGATAATTAGATATAAATTATTCTATTTCAGGATCCTTGCCGTTTTCTTTAGTGATACAACTGTTTCAGATAACGTTACTTCATCTGTTAAATATTTTTATTTCAGATACCACAGTCAGTACTTACCTATCATGTCAGCACCGTTACAATCTTTTGTCATATATCCTATCTCTGCACCAGCCTCAGATATTGTTTCAGATAATGACGTAATGTTGTTGTAAGTTATTGGCAACATACCTCCCGAATTATGATACTCTGGTAACAAATAAGGATAGAAAAGGAATAATCGATATTAAAGAAAACGGCATCAAAATTACAGCTTTCGTGAAATTGTTACAAGTATTAACGACTTTCATTCCATCACTCAAGAAAATTAAGCTGATACAAACATTTTCTATTTAAGGTGACAACAGACACTTTCCGTGGTACTAACATAAATGTAATTTAAATCAACTTATTTTAGTAATAATTGTTATTTATTTAATCTTTGTGCATTAAATGTCGTTGATCATCATAAAAAATAACATATTTGAAAAAAATGCCTTTGTAAATGATTGATTTTTCATAAAAATCCTAAAATTTTAAATCGTCATATCAAAGTCATTTTTTATTTTTTTGTCATCAAACTTTTGGAAAATAAACATACTTATAATATCTGGGGAACCGTGTCTCAAATTTTTTCTATCTTTTCTCAAAAAAATATTACGTAACGTCAAACATTTTATGCGACTTTTTTCACCATACATATTACGTAATTAAAGATAATTAAGTCGCTGATTGAGCAAACAAAAATCCCTGACACGGTTCCCTCCGTAAATGAATTCCCTTTCATGTGCTTTAAACCGCATGTTAATTGCTTTATTATTAAAAAAGTTATGCCGATTCAAAGTTAGTCCGACCCGCATCAAACGAAGTGTCATAAATCGGCTGTTCTCTCTCGGACCCCTACGTTTCACGCTAAATAATTGCATAATACACAAATATCGCACCAGAGAGGGTCACAAGTTGCGGTAACATACTCTAACAACATTTTATGACCCAGTGACATCTGACCAATTAAAAAGTTGCTGATTAATATCAGTTTATAACAGAAATTTCTTCAAATCTTAATGTGATTTACCGCTCGTCTGGTATCGGTCGCACATGTCACGTGACTTTCGGTAAAATTTGAGGCACTCGATGGGGGGAAATGGAACGTATTTGCGCACCGCTAGCGGGGTATTTAATTGTTTCACTTTTGAAGGTTATTATTATTATCATCAGCATTATCATTATATAATACCAGTGTCAATCTGTCTGTGTATTCGCGTATGAAATTCCGTTAAAATATAAATTAAAATAACAAAAAACTGAGCTTCTGACGGTCTTTTAAAGTCCATGTACAAATAAGAACGGGATATTATATATTTTTCCTCCAAATTGATATAAATGCTTCACATATTTTAATAGAAATAAAAGGTATCACTCGATCATTATGATCTGACCTTCTTGACTTCTATTATCATGAATACACGTATCATCTATGCACGACCACGGATTTATATTATATGTAATATAATTAATCCGTGGCACGACATAGAGATCCAGTTTCTACTGGGATATACAATAAATTCCATACTTTGTCCCAGGTTTATTAGTACTGTTTTTGATTTACTGGCGAACAATTTATTCAAAGCATTCACTGATAATATATTTTATTATCTTTTTTTATTGATTCATAGAGAAATAATCAGACAACCTAAAATGGTTTAGAAATTTGTTAGGGACCCCTTACCACAAGTCATATAGGCGTTCACATAAAAAATGTTGTCTGTTTTTGTTGTTGTTTTACTTGACATTGTTAGAAAACGAGGTTGAATGTAAAGCAAGCCCTTGAATCCGTACTAAAGTCCATAAACTCAATGTAATATCTATCAGATTAACGGGACAGACAAATTATTTTCACACATAATGGATATTTTAGCAACTATATTTTTAATCAACCCCGTGGTCGTGCGATTTGCCGCTATGCTTAATTATTTATGTTTCATACATTATGTTACGTACATTGGCCGACAATTTCTTATTTTATAAAAAAAAGGCTAAATAAAAGGTAGACGATATTCATAAAAGAGGTACGGTATTTGTACGATACATGAATTACGAGTGGTATGGACCTGCATGGATCGGTAATTCACGCATATATGGAACTACCGATTTCCCTCATTGATGCCTCAACAGGGGGCGGAGCGTTATCGATAATTGACAGGTTACGCGAATAGCAGATAAAAATGGTACAGGTGTCGTTTTAAAACGTTAAAAAACACAGTTTTTGGACTAACTGCTTCCAAAATTAAATCACGAATGTGTTCAGAAAAGGTTGATAAATCTACTAAGCAAAAAATCTCATTTTAGGTATTTTCAGTGATAATTGACTCCGTTGTCACCTTAATAAAGAGCGTGTAGTTTATAAGAATAAATACAAAACAGTATATCCTCTTAAATATCGTTATAAATACGGATGTTGACAAAATAGTAAAATATGAATCTGTAAACAAAATAGTACAAATAAATCTTTTTCTTGGTCAAAATGATATTTTTACTGATATAAAGTTAGGCATATTTAGTATTTAGTATACAGTATTCTTAAACTATTATTGAAAACTTACTTGAATCTTTAAGGTCATCAATTAAAATATCTTCTGACTTAAGGAAGTATGGTAGAACATCTTCATACGACCAGCCCTCACACCCCATGGACGCCCACTCATCAAAATCATGTCTACTGCCACGAACATGAACCATACCGTTCAGATTACTGCTTCCGCCTAAACATTTCCCTCGTGGCCAAAATGCTTTCTGCAAAAGTGTTAAAATATTTTGATATATACATGTAGTAAGATAATTTAGAATTCATTTAAAGAAGATATGCAACATAAGAATTTGAATGCATTTGTGCGTTTAAAGTACTTAATCAATGTAAATTATATGAAAAGCAATCAAAGAGAGACACTAGGATCTTTGCATGTATGGTCCATTTTGACTAAAAACAATATAATATGACATGCAAGAAGTATACACTTTGCAGATTCCAAATATAGAATGCAATCAATTAAACTGTTTTCTAACTCTAATTTTTAAACGAGTACAACCGTTTCAAATTTAAAGGTTGCTACTGTAAAGATTATTGCATCAGTGTACTTTACATTTCTAATTTCATGTATTTGTAAATAATACTCCTATATTTAATTCTACGTTTAAAAACGTAAAAAAAAACAATATATAGGCTTAAAAACTTATTTGGTCATTTGCTAAAGACCAGGACATAACTCGACGTATTATTAGTAATAGGAAATGTTTACCTCTTCTTTATGACCCAAAAAACTGTTATCTTGTTTAACTGTATAGAAATCCCAGTCATATTTAGAATGTTGAAGGAGTGCGTATAAAAATGGAGTAGACAACATTATATCACCCATATCGTCTCCGCCAGCTTCTAGAAGAAGAACCGAGTTTTCCGGATCTTCCGATAACCTTGAGGCGAGGACGGAACCGGCTGATCCTGTCCCAACTGTTAAAGTAATTGACTATTAACATCACAATTTGTTAAGTGAAACATTGTAAATTTGTTATGTTCAGCTATTTTTAGTCACCTGTGTAATTTTATTTAATGATGAGTTTTTGTATTTTTAGTTTGTTAAATTTACAAGTGTAATGACAACTGAAATATTGGTATTATTGTTAGGTTATAAGGACCCATTTCATAATTGTATTGTAATCAGCTCGTTGCTAAAATTACATATAATAACGATCTTCAACAATGACAACTTAATCAGACGAACTTATGATGGAATCTTGTACATTGTTTTATTAATCAATATATGACAAAACATCAATAGCTGTTCAGCAATTCTATTTCTAATGAATGTTGGCGCTCAATAATCGGTCACCTTCTGTCAGTAGGTCTACAATGACGAGTTCATTATTTCTTATATAGTAAACAAGGTGATTAATTTTAACCAAATCACAATCTCACCGACAATATAGTCATATTCCTTTAAAAGTTTGTCCGCTACTTTCGTCCCTCTCCTCCATGATATTATATAGGTGGACATAACAGCAAGTAAACCAACAAGAAATCTAACAATGTTTCTTCCCATTCTTTTTTATTTGACCTGAAAATATTACTTATTTTTTATTTATTCCTTAAAAATACTATTTTTTACTGTTACCTCTTTATTTGTTAAGGGATCAGCTTCATACTTCAAATATAATTATGTACCTGATCATCATCCACATCTTATGTGACAAGCGTATCATGCGGTAATATTTTGTATTTCATTGTTATATATGGGTAGCATACAAGCATTGCGGTATCTAAAACTGCAAAACATTCAAACTTTGGTAAAGGTGCCTACATTGTTAGTGACAAATACAAGACTTCCCTTTAAATTTCCTGAACCCAATGATCTGAGTTCGCTCTAGTTCGTTTTTTTGTGCAGATACTGTTCAAAACAAAACGATGGTTACATTGAAACATATATAAAAATGTGTTTTTTAAGAAGCACTCAAACTTTTTGATTATATCAAAATAAAACATTTACCTTTATCTTGTTAAGTCCTATCAACTTTAAGACCCCACAAAAGGATTGTATTTACATTATTCAGCTATTTCGTTTTAGACGAATATATATGACAATAGTAAACCACGTATTGAATTACAGTGTAGGAATATATGATAATAGTAAAACATGTGTTGAATTACAGTATTTAAAGCTCAATACTTGAAATGAATCTACCTATGTAGACAAGTTTAAAATTAACTGTTTTTTCATGGGGAATATTTACATCTAGTACTTGTTTATCATTCATTTGTTTGTTTTAATGTGTATTTATAGGGTAGGATAGAAATGTATGTTGTTTGCGTCAGTCGAAGTGGAGTTACCAGAGGTACTTGTGCATGTGTATATAATTTTTGTAATGTTATGCTTGTAGTAAAATGTCGTCTTAAGGTATGACCCACGAATGGGCACTATAAGAAACTGTAAAATTGACAACATAGGTCAGTTATATGCCATAAAGGGCATATGTATGCAAAACTAAAACAAAGTTTACCTACGGTTACGAGTTATGAACATTTTTCTGATCTAGAGCTTTGCTATAAGAAGGGTTCTTTTTCAGGAATCAGGAAACTCTAAATAATCTGTAATAGCATCATTATGAAAAATGTTTTTCTAATGGTCTATGTTAAGAAACCAGTAATAGCATTCACACAAGCAAAACGATTGTTTCTACTTTAAATGTTTGAAATATGTACAAACATGTTTCCCTATCCCACCCATTTTAAACACTGGTTTGACCGTTTTCCTACTTAGAATGCCTCATTCAAAATATCCCTAAAATTTACCAAAAAGTTTACCTAACTTTTCTTAAAAGTATAATGAATAATCTTATCAAAAATAAACTACATTTACCGTGTAGTTTTTATTTTATTAGACTTTGAAAATATCAGGTACCATATATTTGTTATTAAATTTGGCATTTTTAGCCAATAAATACCTATAATAATTATGTCATTATAATTAAACTCATTTTTCTTTCCAAGAGGGATCTAAGACATATTTTAAAATTCTCTTCTGTGGTTTGAACCCTCGCCCAATGAAGTTTACATTAATTCTAGCCTGTCTGAATACTCTTCAAAGCAAAGGAAGTGCATTAGGGGATCATACATTAATTAAATTTAATTTAATTCCATGAAATAGGTAGTGCTTCAAAAATAGTGATTAACAAAGACACGCGTAATATAAAAGATTAAGTTTATTTTCCAAATCCTTAACATCGAGACGCTGGCATGACATCTTACTAAGCATGCGCAATGTGTATATATTTATAAGCTACTGCTAACAGCTGATATAACTAAATCTTTAAACACATCATTATTGTGCACAAATATCTGACATTTTCTTATTTTGATACAACTTTCATTTCTTTATAAAGATTGATTTTATCCTAATATACGTTTACAATCAAACTAGGCATGCAGAAAAAGACATCAGATGCAATTCAGTAAAGGAAATAGGCTTAGAACCACAAGCGCTACAAACAATCTATATATGTAATAACTGGCACATATCATATCACAAATTCGTCAAGAACTATCAGGTCTAGTGAAAGCAATAAATACGTAAGTACAATAAATGTTGTTTTTATCACGCTACTACATTCCTTGGATTTTTCTGAGGTGCTTTGATACTTGAAGGTGTTCCGTTAAATCCATAAAAGGAAATCACTTATGTTTTTACACTTAACACTTAAACATTTTTCAACTTTCTACGAATTTCTGAGACGGAATCGATGTTTCTGATAAGATCGGCTGCTTTCTCCGCAATCATGATCGTTGGGGCGTTTGTGTTACCGGAAGTTACTTTTGGCATCACAGAGGCGTCTGCTACTCGTAAACCTTGGATACCTTTTACCCTTTAAAATAAAAGATTATTAGAAAGTGAATAAATGTTATGTCTAAAAATAACATAGAGAGCAGACTGTTAATACTTTATCTTAAAAGCCCCTGAAATGCTATCATTTTTGACTGTTTTCTCAAAAACTTTTTTTATTTTTGGTATCTTGTGTTACATTTTTCAAAAAGATATTTATTTCCTAAAGAGTCAACATACCACTTTGTTTATATTTTGCTAACTTTACGTCACATTACTGCACGTTAACCTACCTACTTTCTTAGCAAACATGTTCTAAATCCATTATTATAACATTATTGAACACATGTTTGGCCAAACAATTTTATTTTTTAGGGGGGAGGTAGGGGGGAGGCAAAATATACCTTTTATCATGGCGGTTCGGTAGAACATTAATCACTAACAATTTATATATTTTGTGACAATATTGAAAAAGAAAGCAGATTTCGCAAAATACATCTGAACATATATAAACAGTTCTAATATCAAGACATTTTAATGAATTTGAGTTCAATCAAATTTACGGGTACATTAATTATTTCACAGGAATAGACAATACCTGAGTTTATTATCAACAACTGTTGTCGGGTCTTCCGTTCTACCCATTTTACAAGTAGATGTTGGGTGGTACATTGTAGTTCCAAAATGCCTGATGATACATTCAATGTAAGAGTCAGAAAGAAACCCGTGATGTGCACACTTTGGATATGCCCTGTTTTTGTCTTCAATATTCACTCCAATACTCCTCATTGCTTTTGTTTTAAGAAGTCGAATAGTTTCTTTTATTCCTATTAAAGATAAATATTTGCAAAATATAATAATTTCAAGGTTAATATTCATAATAAAACGTGGTTATTTTTTTTTTTGAATGTGAATTAAAATTAAAAATAGTTTGGTATAACAAGATCAGTGTCTTTTAATAGTTACAGCTAAAAGGTATTTTTATTCGTGTTGAATTATAAAGGCTTATATAGTTTACTGACTCGATTAACTAACTCATTCCATTGTGAACAAAACTGATCAGTTTTAGCAATTGCAATAATTTACTTGTACAATTTCTATGTTTCAATACTGAACTGAAGATACTGCTTGTTCACCAACCTTTAATAAGCATTTTAATGTCGTTTGGATGCTGGAGGTAGTTTGGAATGATTATCGGGACTCCAAATGGGTCGCTTTTATTAAGTTTAATTTCACCACGACTTCTTGGATGTAAATCAGTAACAGCGACAGAAAATCCTAGCTTCCCATCGCTGCTTTCTTTTAAACTATCGAGGTACTCCCAAGTCTATAAAGTAATTATGGCAGTATTAAAGGTGCGGTGTCTTAGAAAAAAACTTAACTATGATTCATGGTCATTAAAGCGTATACAAAGATAGCAAGCATAAACCATACAGCCATTATGATTCATATAATTATTAAGGAAATAATGTTTCACAAAAAGAACTCATTTAAACTCATATTCAAATTTAAGTATATCATTTGTTTTAATGCATGTTTTATATCAAATTTGTTTAGCCTGCTTTTGCGTTTTATTCAGTGGTTTGAGCACATTATCTATGCTTGAAACACCCTACGTGAGAAAAACGTGAGTAACATTACACTTTTTAATTTCATGTTTTACACCTTGACAAGTCGAACCGCCTTACTTTCGTTATATTGCAAATGAGAAACATTGGAGATATACATATCACCTCATCATTGAAGGTCAGCAACTGTTTTACTTCATCGTCACTATTTTCTACCAACAGGGGTACGAAGTGTACCTGTACGTCCGGTTGACCAGGTCTGATCTTTCTTATTTCATCATCAAGTTGAAAGAACGCTAAATCTTTAAGAATGCCAGTGTTCCGAAGCCAACCTTAATATAAACGCTGATGTTAAAACATGACATATTATTAACTAAGAAATATTATTTTATTTTATGCTTTCGTGTGGATTACTAACTTATCCGTGAAAATTGCATTTGATTATTTCAAAGTGAGATTATTAAAATATAATTGCACACTTTCAAGAGTTTTCCAATGTGGTACCTCACTTTTAATTTTGCTTACAATTCCGACATTATCAGGGCTGTTAAGAGCAAGCAAATCACAAATTGATAAATAATTAAAATTTCAAACCAAACGTAATAAAAAAACTTGAATTAATTCAATTTACCAATCACCAAATATCGACTCTATATTTTAATTTCATTTTAACCCTATGAAAATGACACTTCTTCTCTCATGCAAAACTGCTCTTCATGACATTAATGCATTTAATTATATTTCATCTCGTGAAATTCAAAAACAGTAAGATATTAAAGCTCACTTGATGAAATAAAATTTCATTTTACTCAAAAACAAACAATATCTTCTATATAAACTGCAAATTTTGAAAAACATATCTTGATAAATTCTCATTGAGAGGATGGAAATGTGTTCAAATCACATTGACAATGTCACATTAATTTGATCAAAGTTTTTGACACTTATTGCAGAACTTCAGAAATAACAGAGCATAAATAACCTTTTCCATTCCATAGGTACTCTAGAATACTAGACAGCAGAGAAATCTTTGAATTTGAAAAGAGATCAGTTGTGTTTGTAGTACACGATAAGCCAACATAGAGGTGATCTTGTAAGTTTTGTCCGACTAGTAAGTCAGCAATAACTTTGATCTAAAATTAAAAGAAAAAGTTATGTTCGATAAAAAGTATAATATAATCATATCATAATTAACACACTACTTCAGTTTTGGTCAATTTTATATCAGACAGATTTCTGTTTCCAGTTACTTTTTATAAAATGTTTTAAAATTACTGCCATGTGAGTGGAAATGGAGGTTTTGTTTATCTATTTCACTACATAAATATGAATTAAGAAGAAGATGGTTCAGTTGAGACAGACCCTGAATCACTTACCCCGATATCTTCTAAATGCGTTTTCGGACCAATACCAGACAACATGAGAATCTGTGGGGACATTACAGTACCGGCTGACAAAATAACTTCTTTCCTTGCCTTCACTGTCAATGTCTCGTTATTTTTTATCACAGACACACCAATTGCTCTCTTGTTTTCTATAAGAACCTGGGATCAAAAAGTTATCATAATGAAAATCAGTTATCTGCATATTTTAATAAAGATATGAGACTGAATCAGTGATAAACAATGCAAACTTAGTTCTAAAGCCAGTCTTATTAAAACTACATGCTAACTGACGCTCCACTACATTTTGCTTCGTAGTGTGGAGTAAAGGAGTGAAACCCAGGATCTGATATTAATGTGATTAGTTCTAAAGCTTATTCATTCTATGAAAGAAAATAAAAAAGAAGAACTAATTAAACATTTTTTTTCTAGCAGATAATAAAAAGTAAATATAACCTTTTGAACATGTGAATGTAATGATATATGTAGATTGTTTCTATACATGACTGGCCAGATAAAACTTCTTGATGTACTCGCACGAAGTCCGTTCGCTGTAACCGTTCCTTGTATGTGACATATACCTAAAATTGTACCAGTGCGTTTTGTAAAATAATGTAATTCGCTTCTACTTTAAATACCTTAAAAATACAGACAAACAAAATAAAGACGATAGATTGAGAAATATGTCGTTGGTCAGTTAAAATTACCGTTGACAGAACACTTTATTATTTTTATTGTTCCTGAGTATTTTCCTAGTTCCAAAGGTTATTTTAGAAGCAAAATCTTAGATGTCACACGTCTTGTGATAAGCTTTTTGTGATGTCAAGTTGTGCAAAATGGAAATATGTATTTTACATTTCAATAACAAAAATAATATCAAATGATATTTTCCCATTAAGAATATGATTTAAACAGTTCCCAACAAGGATTCAAATCTGGAAAAAAGATGATCCCTCGGAAACATTAATCACAACAAAATTGCATGAATATTGCAGACTCGGTTTGATTTAGTCTGTACATGAGGGATAATGAAGTGCAACTCAACAATCATTTAAGGCGTACACGCCTATTAAATTTAATAAATAGATGTATCCCTTTATGCAAGAGAACCGAGACTGATTTTAATTTCATGTACTATTGGTAGAAGTTATCTGTCATTTCAGACATAATTTTTACAAAATATCTTATTTTACAAAGAATCGTGTGTTTGGTGTACACATTTATATACGTTTTTAATTTCAGGCTTATGACAAAGAATTTGACTATACTTTTCTTTATCGGCACAATAAGTTCGGAAACCTCAACAACATATAGATCTAAACTTAATTTCAGATTCCCAAGTCAGTACTTACCTATCATGTCAGCACCGTTGCAATCTTTTGTCATATATCCTATCTCTGCTCCAGCCTCAGATATTGTGTCAGATAATGACGTAATGTTGTTGTAAGTTATTGGCAACATACCTCCCGTATTATGATATTCTATAATAATTATAATTAAAATATAATTTTATTATGTATTTATAAAACGAAAACGGCCAAAATATTATAATGACAGTTCGTAAATGATTGTGTAACATTTAAACATTTAAACAAACATGAAATGCATGACGCTCATTCACACATCTTTTACTTGTTTAGCACATTTAGAGTGAATCAGAACTTAAAAACAACATATCGACATTAGGACAAAATAGTATTGCATTTTGATATTGATTCCCCTTTCTATATAAATCAATTATATCTTGTTCAAAATAATAGTCTTCCTTACTATTTTTTAAGCACATTTTATAGTACTTTTACTGTCATCATATCCTACTATTGTAAAACGTAAAACTTACTTGAATCTTTTAGATCATCAATAAGAATATCTTCTGATTTAAGGAAGTATGGTAGAACATCATCATATGCCCAGCCTTCACACCCCATGGACGCCCACTCATCAAAATCATGTCTACTGCCACGAACATAAGCCATACCGTTCAGATTACTGCTTCCGCCTAAACATTTCCCTCGTGGCCAAAATGCTTTCTGCAAAGTGTTTTAAATGTTTTGTCTTGAAATGCGATAATTAAGAGTTCATGTAAAGCAGAAATTAAACAAAAGTAGTTGAATCGGTTTGAGCGTTGCATGTACTTGAGCAATGTAAATTATATGAAAAGCATTTACAGAGAGCACTAGATTGTTTACAATCTAATATGACTTTTAAGAAGTATAAACTTTGCAGATTCCAAATTTAAAATGCAGTCAATTAAACTTTTTTTCTTACTCTAATTTTTAAACGAATTCGAAGATTTCAAATTTTAAGTTGCTACTGTAAAGATTATTGCATCAGTATACTTTCAATTCTTATTGCATGAATTTGTAAATAATATTCTTATATTTAAGTTTATGTTAAAAAAGTAATTAAATCAATCTCTAAGCTTAAAAACTTATTTGGTCATTTGCTAAAGACAAGAACATAACTCTGTGGATTGTTAATAATAGGAAATGTTTACCTCTTCCTTATGACCCAAACAACTGTTATCTTGTTTAACTGTATATAAGTCCCAGTCATATTTAGAATGTTGAAGGAGTGCGTATAAAAATGGGGTAGACAACATTATATCACCCATATCGTCTCCGCCAGCTTCTAGAAGAAGAACCGAGTTTTCCGGATCTTCCGATAACCTTGAGGCAAGCACGGAACCGGCTGATCCTGCCCCAACTGTTATAGTAATTGACAATGAACATTAAAATTGGTTTAGTGAAACATTGTAAGTTTGTTATGTTGAGCTATTTTAGTAACCTGTGTGATTTTATTTAATGATGACTTTTTTCTATTTTAGTTATTGAAATTTACAAGTGTAATGACAACTGAAATATTGTGTTTATTGTTAGGTTATTATGACCCATTTCATAACTTGATTATAATCAACAAGTTGCTAAAATTACATTTAGAAACGACCTTCAGCAAAGCTATTTCTAATGTCTGTTGGCGCTCAATAATCGGTCACCTTCTGTCAGTAGGTCTACAATGACGAGTTCATTATTTCTTATATAGTAAACAAGGTGATTAATTTTAACCAAATCACAATCTCACCGACAATATAGTCATATTCCTCTAAAAGTTTGTCCGCTACTTTCGTCCCTCTCCTCCATGATATTATATAGGTAGACAAAACAGCAAGTAAACCAACAAGAAATATAACAATGTTTCTTCCCATTCTTTTTTATTTGTCCTGAAAATATTATATTTATTTTTTACTTATAATTTTATGTAAAACGTATCATACGGTCAAACTTTGTATTTCATAGTTATATACACAAACTGGCCATAGCTTTCGCAGAAGCCGTGGGTCCGTCGGAGCGGCAGTGAAGTATTCGTCGCAGAAGCGACATAGAAAATGGCCGTATGCTGTTGTCGGTAAGTTTATGACTGAATTTTACTTTATGTTTTAACGTTTTACGGGAAAGACATAGTGATACTGGAGCCAACATATGTATTCTTTCAACTTATTACACGCACACCATGCAATTCATTGAGATTTATGCAAACACTTCTGTACAGTTTGACGAGGGGAGGCCACTTTTGCCGACTAAAAACACGTACAAAAACAACCATATTTTTGAATATTTTGAAATTATAATTGTCTGTTTATAAAATAAATAACCAAAAAATGATAACAACGCAGACGGCAGATTTTTAAAACGACCCTTTATGAACGGTAATAATGGAAACAACGTTTATATACGGTCATATAACCCTGCTAGAAATATTTATATAAAGAATTTATAATAAAGCAAGCTTTTTTTAGAGAAAAAAAAGTGAGATTTCTTGAACTAGGGGTGTAATCGATTTAGTCGATATCTGTGTATCAACGATCTTTGTTATCCTATTCGATATCGATTCCATTTTTTAAATATCGGATATCGAATGCACACATATTTCTAACTTCAGCAAATAGGTTTTATAGTACTGATAGACCAAACGTCAAAATAAAAGCGACATATAAAGTAATTGAAGCCAGAACTAACATATTTCAAACATTTTTTTTTCTAAAACAAAAGCGGAAATCAACACCAGAGTTACCTCCCAGTGTCTCTAACGAATGCTGCCGAATTTCGTTGTAATCTGGCATGTCTGCTAAGTGGGGGGTCAAGACCCCCTAATTCAGATTTTTAAAAGGGGAAAATGCCAAGTAAATTTTTGTTAGTGTTTCTTTGTAAAAATTAGGATTACATATATGAAACTTTGATAATTATTCCGGTTCTAAACACTATAATTTGCCAATTAAACCCCAGCTTACTAATGGAACTGCAAGGACGGGATTTAGCATAATCCGTAATAGCAACAACAAAAGTAAAATTGAAAAGGCTTTAAACATTATATTTACTAGTCATTAGTTGTCATTAAAAGTGATAATGATAAAAAAGAAACAAATTGTTCACTTTTTATAGTTATTTATTTTTTTAACATAACAAATTAAAACATACTTGAAAGCTTAATTTTGCCTTGCAATCGATATATCGCTGTATCGGCGATAATTCATTACCGATATATCGATACAAAAATCCTTGTCGATGACACATTTTCTTTATATATTGACAACAGCCGTTAATATAAAACTATATAAATGTCACGATTATCTAATGAAAAGTGACATAACAAACGTGCAATATTATAAACACATATTTATTCAATAATTTTACTTTTTTTGAAATTAGCTCATTTTAACAGAATGAATAAATTTTCACTCAGTATTTACCTGATTATCATCTATTTCCCGTTTCTTTTAACAACTTAAGATATCATCTACTCAGAGATTCCTGTAACCAAAACTGGTATTTCAAGGAACGAGTTTAACATCAAAAACAGGACAAATATTTCTGTTTACTTCCCCCCCACCCCTACTTATTTATATATTTAAAGCAGAACATCGTATTTCAACAACTTCAAAAATCTGACACACACATCTACTTCCAAGAACAATTCTGTCTAAATAAAATACTTTTATTTGGAGTGTTTGTTATCTTAAACAATGATTTCCACATGATGTGATATCTTCCTTATGCTATTAACATTGAAGTGTTCATTCTAATGTATCTAAATCAACCGCGACATGTTTCTATTGTTAAACGAAAACATCTTGACACTGGAAATAAAATAACAACCAAAAGAGTAATTTTGATTGTTGTTTAATTGTTTAAAGTAGTTAGGCCCTGAAAGTGTTTTCTGTTTCAAGACCAATATGTCAAGTGTCGTTTGAATAGATGAAATAAGTTTTATGAACTTATAATTTTCCTTGAAATTCTCTTCCTTATATATGCGTTTCTACGATAACGTCATTTGACCACTATGTTGGAAATGTCATGTCTCGGCTCAAATGTATTTTTTAACTTGGTATGATGTTAAAATATGATAAAAGAACCATTTCAAGCAAACACAACTTAGAGGTCCCGATTTTATTATTTTACTTTTTATTTGGTGTTATTTCAGGGGCAGATAACTTATACATACGTCTGAAAATCGTTTTCGTTTCTGTTGTTTTTCAGTATACCGGTATTTTTGCACATTCTCTAAAAACAACATTAAATTCCTTGAAATATTTTTGTTACTTTTTAAAGAAAATCATAGGGGGTACTTTAAATTCTTAAAAATGCTATTTTAAACCAGTTTTCTTTGTTAAATGTCACAATTTAAGAAAAAGAAGAAAAAAGCTATATCACAGGCAGGTGTTTACAAAAAGTAATAAATAAAAAACTTTTTCTCAATTAACACTTCCGCTATAAAGCTAAAATTTATATAAATTGGTGTTTTCAGTAAAACAGTGAGTTCTGTAAGTCTTTACGTGTATCTTTTATATGTTTGTATGAGAACCTGGAACTTTTTAAGTCTCAGGATGAACGTGGACTTTTCTATGATTATATCGGTCAAAGGAAGGAAAATTGAAGCGGAACTCGGACATCTATTTGTATTTAAACACGAAATAAACACGTCTCTCTGATGTCAAAGTTAGAAAAGAGTTTTACTCAATTGAAAAGTGCGTTATACCAAGTTAAACCCTCAAAATAGATAGTAATGATATCGAGCCCATTGCACTGCATGGCAATCAAATCCACCGCCGTCTGCTTTGTAATCATTTTTGTCAATTATTTTATAAAACGCCAATAACAATTTCCAAAATATGGTTGCTTTGTCTAAGTGTCATCCATACGATGTGATACAGGCGGTGTATTTAGGAATCGTTTTGCACACATTTGTACCTGTTTTAACCAAAATTCGGCAATAGTGGAGATACATGTATAAAGCTTTAACGGCAAACCATTCAAATTTAAAGGTAAAGGTTACATTGTCAGTAAAAGCTGCAAGAAGTACCTTTACTTTATACCTGAAAACAATGATCTGAGTCCGCGATTCGTCTGTTGCAGATACTGTTAAAAACAAAAGCAACGGTGATTACATTCAAACAGTAAAAATGTTTTCGAACTAAAGGCAGGATTCAAACTTTTTGATTATATCAAAATAAAACATTTACCTTTAACTTGTTACGTCCTATCAACTTTAAATTGTATTTTCGTCATATAGCTATTTCGTTTCAGACGAATATATGACAATAGTAAAACACTTATTGAATATAAGTATTTAAAGCTCAATACGTAATTGAAATGAATCTACATATGTAGACAAGTTTAAATGAACTGTTGAGTTATCATGGAAAATATTTACTCGTTTATCATTCATTTGTTTGAATTAGTATTTATTTATAGGGTAGGATAGAAAAGTGTTTTGCTTGCGTCGGGCGGGAATGTATTTACCACAGGTTGTGCCTGTGTATATAATTTTGTCATGTTATGCTTGAAGTTTAGTGTCGTCTTAATCTAATTTAATCAAATCAAGTAGGCTTCAAATAGTGATTTAAACAGACACGCTTATAATATAAAAGATGTAAGTTTATTTTCCAAATACTTAACATCGATACGCTGGCATGACATCTTACTAAGCATGCTCAATGTGTATATATTTATAAGCTATTGCTAACAGCTGATAGTATTACAAGTAAAATTAAAGTAAATCTTTGAACACATCAAGATTGTGAATAAATATCTGACATTTTCTTATTTTAATACAACTTTCATTTCTTTATGAAATTGACTTTTTCCTTGTATACGTTTACAATCAAGGAAGCATGCAGAAAATAGTTTAACGTCATGAGGTTAAGTGCAATTCATTAAAGGTAATAGGGTTAGCACCACAAGCGCTACAAACAATCTGTATATGTAATCACAGGCACATATCATATCACAATTTCTTCAAGAACTATCAGATCAATTAAAAGCAATAAATACGACTGTACAATAAACGATGTCTTTATCTTCCTAATATATTTCTTGGATTTCTCTGAGGTGATTTGATACCTGAAGTTGAAACAATCACATATGGCTTTACACCTAACACTTAAACGTTTTTCAACTTCCTACGAATTTCTGAAACGGTATCAATATTTCTGATAAGATCGGCTGCTTTCTCTGCAATCATGATTGTTGGGGCGTTTGTGTTACCGGAAGTTACTTTTGGCATCACAGAGGCGTCTGCTACTCGTAAACCTTGGATACCTTTTACCCTTTAAAACAAAAGATTATAAGAAAGTGAATAACTGTTGGGTCTAGAAATAAAATACATTCAGATATAAAAGAGCTAATTGTTAATACTTTATCTTAAAAGCTCTAGAAATGCTAACACATTTTAATGAATTAAAGTTCAATCAAATTTACGGGTACATTAATTATTTCACAGGAATATACAATACCTGAGTTTATTATCAACAACTGTTGTCGGGTCTTTAGTTCTACCCATTTTACAGGTAGATGTTGGGTGGTACACGGTTGTTCCAAAATGCCTGATGATACATTCAAAGTAAGCGTCAGAAAGAAACCCGTGATGTGCACACTTTGGATATGCCCTGTTTTTGTCTTCAATATTCACTCCAATACTCCTCATTGCTTTTGTTTTAAGAAGACGAATAGTTTCTTTTATTCCTATTAAAGATAAATATTTGCAAAATATAATAATTTCAATGTTGATATTGATAATACAACTTGGTTATATTTTCGAATGTGAAATAAAATTTAAAATAGTTTGATATAACTATTTCAGTGGCCCTTAGTAGTTACAGCTTAAAGGGTTGAATTATAAAGGCTATAATATATTACTGATCCAGGTATTCAATCACTTTTTCAATTGTGAAAATTTTTTATCAATTGCAATAATTTACTTGTATAATTTCTAGGTTTTAATACTAAACTGAAGATCCTGCTTGTTCACCAACCTTTAATAAGCATTTTAATGTCGTTTGGATGCTGGAGGTAGTTTGGAATGATTTCCGGGACACTAAATGGGTCGCTTTTATTAAGTTTAATTTCACCACGACTTCTTGGATGTAAATCAGTAACAACGACAGAAAATCCTTGCTTCCCATCAATGTTTTCTTTTAAACTATCGAGGTACTCCCAAGTCTATAAAAGTAATTATTGCAGTATTCAAGGTGCCGTGTCTTCAAACAAAAAAAAAGGAAACTTAACTATGATCCATGGTTATCAAACCATATACAAAGATAGCAAGCATAAACCATACAGCCATTATGATTCATACAATTATTACACAATTCAACATTTTTACATTTTCATTTCAAGTAAAGAAGTCATGTTACACAAAAAGAACTCATTTAAACTAATATTAAATTTCAGTATATCATTTGTTTTTAATGCATGTTTTATTTGTTTGGCCTGCTTGTGTTTTATTCAGTTGTTTGAGCACATTATCTTTGCATGTTACATCCTACGTGAGAAACACACGCTTAACATTACACTTGTTTAACTCCCTGTTTAAACACATTGGTTATCATCTTGCCTTACTTTCGTTTGAGAATTTTTATACATTGCAAATGAGTCTTATTGGAGATATAAAAATCACCTCATCATTGAAGGTCAGAAACTGTTTTACTTCATCGTCACTATTTTCTACCAACAGAGGTATGAAGTGTAACTGTACGTCCGGTTGACCAGGTCTGATTTTCCTTGTTTCTTCATCAAGTTGAAAGAACGCCAAATCTGTAAGAAGACCGGTGTTCCTCATCCAACCTTGATAAAATATATTCTGATGTTAAAGCATGACAAATTATATGCAAAGAAATATTATTTTATTTTATGCTTTTGAGTGGATTACTGACTTATCCGTGAAAATTTCATTTGATAATTTCAAAGTGAAAATCATTAAAATATATTTTCACATTTTTCAAGAAGAGACTTTCCCCACTTCATTTTTATTTTTGCTTACAATCCCGAAATTATCAGGGCTTTTTAGAGCAAATAAAATCTGAAATTGATAAATATCTTAAACGTAAGGAAAAAATAAACCTTACTTCAATTTATTCAATTTACCAATCACCAAATATCGACTCTAGTTTTCCATTTCATTTTGACAGTCTGACAAATTACACTTCCTTCCCCATGTAAAACTACTCTTGATGACATTTGGGCATTTTGTGGGTTTCCTACGAGCAATAACTGTATAACAATATGTAAAAGCAATGACAGACACAATCCCAAAAGATAAGTGAACAACACAGCATTCGTAAGACAGGCTTTCAAAAAATGTTTCCATATTCCTAGTAAGACAGGCTTTCAAAAAAATGTTTCCATATTCCTAGTAAGACAGGCTTTCAAAAAAAATGTTTCCATATTCCTAATAAGACAGGCTTTCAAAAAATGTTTATATATTCCTAGTAAGAAAGGCTTTCGAAAAAATGTTTCCATATTCCTAGTAAGAAAGGCTGTCCATATTCCTAGTAAGAATGGCTTTCAAAAACAATGTTTCCATATTCCTAGTAAGAAAGGCTTTCAAAAAATGTTTCCATATT